TTTAAAAAGGCTGAATATTTAATATATTTACGGTGTACTGTGTAAATAATATCAGCACTGTCCAGAGTGGTTCCGATGTCTCGTGACCCCCCAAATTAATTGGACCCCTAAACATTTTTTTCCCATCGCGTATTTGTGTTTTTTTTAATAAACCTTACTTTAAATATTTATTACGTTTTAGGGAATAAAATTTTGGGTCACAAGACATCTGGACCACCCTGTCGACAGCCAAAGGGTTCATCAATCACTGCACGTTTTGTACATGTCGGAATGCGGCGGCCAGCACAAAAGTTCACCGTCGTAGAAGGGCTGTCTGTAAGAGGGGGAGGGATCAGGGGTGGGGTAGGGCGGGTGAGTTGATTTAATTAAATTTTTACCATCAAAAACCTCATTAATCTTGGCGGGAAACGTTGCTCAAGTGGTTTTCCACCCATGGTGCGTCGATTTAATTGGGCCCAACGTGCGATTGATGGTTTAATTGGACACAACGCCGCACTGATTTAACACCGCCCTAATGAAATTGGACAAATCCCACCCACCCCCGCCGCCGCCCTACAGCCGAGTTTTCACGCTTGCCAGCAACTGCGTCATAGGGGAACCCCAGAGACGGCCCCGTAAAAAAACCCAAAGAGATGATCCGATTGTGAATGAGACTCTTGTGTTAAGCTATCGTAAACAATGACGTAATAATAGGTTTTTTACCCTTTATATGGCAACAAAACCGACACCTTTTTTCAAGGAATCCTGTTTGCATTCACCACAATACCTGCGGTCAAAATGCAAACAAAAAAACAACTCTGATAATGTATTGCACTGTCCTTAAAATTGATTGGTCCACACCAGAGACAGCTTTTCTTCGAGCCCAGTCTCACGTGGTGTTGGACCAGATGACGCCAAAAGGCGCACAACTCAAAGACAATGCACCATCAGAGTATTGGGAGCTCGGGGTAAGCATTAACATCATGAGGCCTCATTTGCCAGTAGCAAAATATTATAATAGGTAAAAAACTATTATATGACGTGTGAAACTAATTATACGGCAATGCTGCCGCTGCTGCCGGGTTTTGCAGTGGTGCACAATACACAAATAACAAAGTGAAATTAAAACTCGAGACATTTCAAGATGTTTGTATTACTTATACCAGGTAAAGCCCACCCAGCAATTACCTTTTTTTCAGAAGCGACCTGGCCACAAACGATCGCTCAACGAAGCGGCTCATGTGGAAATGTATAGCAGCCAAATACTCGAAACGCGTGATGTTGATTCTAAATGTGGACGGAAATACCGGACGACCCGGAGAAAAAAAATCCACGCGACCACGGGGAGAGAAACACACACACGCGCGAATTCCAAATATACAGCAGGCGTCAGGGTCGAGATCTAACCCATGGCATCCCGCATACCAGTCGAGGCAGATAGCATCTCGCCACCGCGGCGCCCAATGATTGCTATGATCAGCATCATCATCATCGTGCACCTGTCTTGAACCCAGGATATGCGAAACAGAGCTTGTCTTCTTGGTTGTTTCGGTAAAGTCACGTAGAAGGGAATTAATAAAATAATAAAAAATTAAACATAATAAAGTTAAATTCTCACGACGTTTCAGCCACACCGCAAGCAGCCGTCCTCAGGTGAAGAACAGGTCTGTCGGAAAGTGTCAGACAGGTCTGTCGGAAAGACAGTGTCAGACACTGTCTTTCCGACAGACCTGTTCTTCACCTGAAGTGTCTGACACTGTCTTTCCGACAGACCTGTTCTTCACCTGAGGACGGCTGCTTGCGTTGTGGCCGAAACGTCGTGAGAATTGTATTTTATTATGTTTTATTTGTATTATTTCCCTTCTACGTGACTTTACCAAAAGAACCAAGAAGACGAATCCCTGCAGTCACGAAAGCTTCAAATCGAAAGAGCTTCTGTCGACAAGGCAATGATACTTCTCCAAAAACAGCCCACGTCCTCCCGTCGCACGACGCGGTGCAATTCAGGGATTAATTCTACCATACGAATACATTCTACCATGTGAATATGAATAAAAAGTGTGCTGTACTTGGCCCATCCCCCCTCTCCAACCATTATATAAACGGAGTGGTAGCTCTTGTAATCTCTCATTTACTTGATACAGCTGTCGTGGCTGTGATGGTTCCACCTAAAGACGGAAGCTTGTGTTGCCTCCGAAACGTCGTGATTTTTATTTTATTTTTATAAATTTTAATGTTTTTACCTACGTGACTTTACCGAAAAAAAACCTAAGAATATGAATACAATTCAGGGATTCATTTCGCAAAAAAGCCATCACCGTGACGGTCATGAATCTCCACGCGATGCCTTGCGGGATATTTTATTTATTTATTAAAGCGCATTACCACGTCGCTCCGGGTAGCAGAGACGCGAGAGAATCATGATGTCCACATCATCTGCAGCATTTACGACGTCCTCAAACCACCGGCTGCACACTCCTCTGTTACGAACCCCCGTACGGCAGTCATAAGGCCTTATGAGCGAGAAACGCGCGAGATGATATCAGGCCCCGACCTCGTTTCATTCGTTTACGGACGACCTCCCACCCCCGTGTTTTCAATTCCGGAAAATTGACAACAAAAGTAATCATTGGGATGAACGGCGGTGATACGGACGCTTGGCAGGAAACAACCTCTGCTGGTCTTCTTGGTTCTTTCGGTAAAGTCACGTAGAAGGGAAGTAATAAAATAATAAAAAGAAAACATAATAAAATAATTCTCACGACGTTTCGGCCACAACGCAAGCAGCCGTCCTCATGTGAAGAATGAAACACTACCAAGCTTGGAGCGTATATTTAAGCTTAGAATCGAAATTTAACCTCTGCTGGGTTTCAATGTTCTTCACGTGGGGTAAAGGGAACACTCAATGAGGGGCAACTGGCGAACGATCGATGCCCAAATCTTGACTTCGCAGACAAGGTGGGCCGCGGTTAGCTGACGGCGGAGTCACACCACTGGTTGAGTATGGGTCCTGATAAAATCGTGGGTGGAAAAAATAAATCTGTTTAAAACCACCTTGTGTAATTAAACCGGGCTCTCAAGTTGAGAGTCGGTGGTGTCGTCACCGATGTCCGCGCGCGAAAAAAAAAGCATCATATTCAATTTGGATTTTCAGTGAACGCATGAAAATTCCAGCTGTGATGATAGATATATAGAAATTTCAGTTCGACACGTGACGTCATCTGGTCCAACCCATGTGAGACTAGGCTCTAAGGAAAGCTGTCTCGGGTGTGGACCAATCAACTTCAAGGACAGTGCATACATTATCAGTTATATATTTTTTGTTTGCATTATGACTGCAGGTATTGTGGTCTCTGCAAACATGACTCCTTGTAAAAACAAGGTGTCAGTTTTGTTGCCAGATAGAAGGGTAAAAAAACAATTATCATATTTTTGCTGGCAAATGAGGTTCCAATGGGCAGGGGTTGTGTCGAAAAGTGCAAGGCCCCTCCCTCGTGTGGAGATGATCGGTTGAGTGCATCTCAGATGTAGTTCTGTGACATCTCCTTCCGGAAGCCCTTCTGGATTACGGGAGTGGATGCACTGCTCTGCTCGAGTCCCGAATTGAGGTATTTTCTTCGTTCCAATGACGTGATGCCAACAAACAGCTCAATTGGAAGAGAACTGGGGAAAATACAAAAAAACGTCCAATCGGGAATGGGACAGTCATGATCACAAGAGTTTTGGAATTGGTTAATACACATTTACACTTTGGTTAAGAATTTTTTTTTTAAACCCACAAAAAATATTTTCAAAAATCTATAGCTGCATACACAGCGCAGGCGAAATGATGCAGTCAAAAATAATAAACAAAACTACTAAAAGCTGAACTACACGCCTTTTCAATTGAAGGAGCCCGTATCGGTAGGGTGTGAAATACTTTTGATTGTAGCAAGCCAACAAACGGCTTTCAATAGTTCCGTCTCTTATCAGCTGGTTATTTAGAAATAAATTTAGCCCGAATTGCCGGAGAGAACGCTGCGTTGAGACGAGAGCCTTCAACGACGCGAACGCAACACGTCCGTTTAATTCCCGCGACAACAAAACATCTACGGACATTTCTCCTCGTTATTGTGCATGCACTTGGCTAGCGGGAGACAAAACGGTGCTTTGGTAATGACCAGGGGAGGTCGCGGCAACCTGCGGATGCGGAGATGTACGAGGCGGCGCTTTAAAAGGCCTGCTGCTTCGCGGCGTCATTTAGTAAGGAGGCCACCGTCTCGCATTTACCACACAGTGCATCGCCGGCGCAACGCGTTAGCTCGGCACGTGCAAAAAAAAAAAGAGACCGACATTGAATATTGTGCTCGCGATACGTGCGATAACTCTTCCCCGCACCCTGGGGGTGGAGTGGTGGTGCAGTCGTTAGTCCACTGTGCTACGGACCTGGAAACCCAAGTGAGATTCCCACCCAGCCTATGGCTGTGTTGGAGAGCCAAGCCACAACACACAACCGGTGTACTGTACTTAGTGCCGAATTGGCCACGTTCTGTTTACGTGACAATCCTCACTAGTTGGCTGTTGGGTGGTGGCGGGTTTAATGACACATTAATATATTTACGCTATCTAACCAAAAAAACCTCTTATGGATGATATTGGTCGCGAAAGCCTACTACGTGTTAAAACTGGTGTATGGTCAATCGGCCCCTCCTGGCCCGACACGGCATTTGACTGCCTCCGTTCACACCAAGGGCTGGTCATAATAGGTTTTTTTGGGTTAGATCGGGTAAATATGAATGTGTCGTTAAACCCGCCACCACCCGACACAGACAATTAAGTAAGGTTCGTCACGTAAACAAAACATGGACAATTCGTTACTAGTTCGGCACTAACCGGTGTTTTGGCGAGTAAACCCACATTTACAAAAACACACTTATCTCTATTATGGATGTTGGTCATTGTCTAAAACAGGGCTGCAGGATTGAAACATGTGAACCCTGCAGCTACTCGGAGGGCTTGTGTACACACACACACACGCACAATGACAATAAGAATCGATTCTTTAATCTAATTGTGACGACGACGATACCTTGACAAATCATCGAGTCGCTGAAGTGGTGGTGGGGGAGGGGGTAAAGGAAGGGGGTGGGGCGCTGCAACCAATGCACACCTGTGACACCGCTCGCCGCACCGCACCAGAAAAACTTGGGCACGTGCGACATTCACTGCGAAGACCGGAACACCGTGCGCGCCGCTGCCGGTTAACGAGATGAAAACGACTCTCGGCGCAAGTGAAAAGTGCGGCTTTACGAGACGCCGTCGCTCGTGCAGCAGCGCCGAACGACGGCGTTGTTTCCGCGGGCGTCAACGTCAAACGAAAGGGCAATGATTTTTTTTTCTTTTTCAAACGGTACTTTTTTGCGTATCGCGGTTCGAGAAAGCGAGGAGTGAACGCGTCGACAGGGGGCCGTCGGGCGCACAGCGCGAGCGAGCGGGCGGGGCCAACGGCGGTTCGGTCAACAGGGCGTGTTGAGCTGGAGCACTGAGGCACAACTGCCAGCACCACGTGTCTTAGTTTGGGGCTTGGGGGACGAAGGGTGAGTTGTGGAAAGCTACAGTGAGAAACTTTACGCGTAAGCGATATAGCACAAGCACGCACACCTCTGTTGCAGGAGTCCAAAAAAAAGCAATCTTTCGCCGTGACACCAGTTCACTCTCGCAAACGAGACGCATCCTGGTCTCGAGTTCTCACTCGATTAAGCAAGACTAAACCGTGAGCGAACGTGGATAAAAAAAGAGCTTAATAAACAGAAGTTCTCTGACGTCATCTTGCGGGGCGGGGTGGGGGGGGTCATTCTCTGACACAAGGTGATGCACCGCTCGCTGCAAGAGATCGGAACGGATATTTCTTGGTATCGTTACAAGGTTTATTCGTCTCGTGGTTACGATGCCAACGGCACAACCGTAACAAAATTGTGGGAAAGGATACAAAAAAAATATTTTCAAGAAAACTAAAATAAAAAAAACAAATCCAGGATCACGCCCCCGCACTCCGCACACTCACTCACCATCTCGTCGCTGCACCTCGCGACGACTTAACCGGCCTTCAACGCAGAGATGGGCAACGTACATTCAAACCGCAAATGACCGAAGTACCTCATCGTGGACTCAAACGACCGATTAAACTGCGTCTCGTGCAATTTGGATACGAATTTCACCACGTTAAAATAATCGATCGCAAACGAAAGAACGTACATCGCAAATTTTAAGCGCTCGCAATTCAGACGCCTGGCCCCCATTCCCCCCCACACGCCCGCGTAAAGAAACGTTCCCCTTGCAGACGTCGCCATTTCAGAGAAAGCCGGCGAGCAAGCGACGCGACGCTCAACCCAAACGAGGGGCCTCTGAACAAAACACGCCGCCCCCCCCACCCCATTAACCATGAGCGCCGCGTCGACCGGCAAGCGAGCGAGCGAGCGAGCAGGCGAGTAAAGAAACGCGAGGATTTTAGGGCCGGACCGGCTCCCGCGAGTCAAGCGAGAGGTGGTGGGGGGTGGGGGGTGGAAAGCGGAGTGACATCATCACAGCGCGTCCAGGATTCCGTCGATTTTGAGCACCACCTCCTGGCGCTTGGCCGTGTTCAGCTTCTCGGCCTCCAGGTACGGCTGCTTGGCGAGCTTGGACTGCACGAGGCGTTCCGCGTCTTGGCCCGCTTTGTTGACGAGCTCGCGCAGGCCCGAGTCCAAGCGCTGCAGCTCCGCCACCTGGGGGGGTGGGCGGGGAGGTTACGCGCCGCCAGGCGAATGTTACGTTCTGATGTCCCCCTCTCCCCACCCTCGCTCGTGCGATCTCGCTTACCATACGGGGCAAGACCTCTCACTCTACATGCGGTTATGAGGTAGGGACGTGGAACAACGTTGTGCGTGTACCGTGTGCGCGTGTACCGTGTGCGCGTGTACCGTGTGTGCGTTTACCGTGTGTGCGTGTACCGTGCGTGCGTGTATCGTGCGTGTGCGTGTACCGTGCGTGTGCGTGTACCGTGCGTGCGTGCGTTTACCGTGTGTGCGTGTACCGTGTGTGCGTGTACCGTGTGTGCGTGTGTACTGTGCGCGCTACTCGGCAGGCAGCCGTCTCCTCGTGCGGTTTTGCTTTGTGCGTCCGTTTTTTTGGAACTCATCTACGACCACTACCACCATCACCACCGCCGCCACACAGAGCGGTGCTATGAAGAAGCTCCATCGCCCAAAACCGTCACCAACTTCCACCCGGTTTGTTTGAAAGCCACGTTCCGAACAAATGCGTCGCGTTTTGTTGTCGCCATTGTGAACCGCACGCAAAGCGCTATCAAACACCGCCGGGCGGGCGCTTAATCACCTCTCTGGATTCTGTTCCCTTGAAAAAAAAAAATCACCGGACTGTTACGAGCAATTACTCACTCAAAAGGTCCTTGTCTAATTAAAGCACCAAACCTGGACGCTCTCTTCATTCGCACACACGCAAGGGGTAGAAGTCCCCTAGTGTCGAGGCACAGAGGGCCCATCTCCGTGGTCTAATTACGCGAAGACCTTTCAACGCTCCGCACGATTACCCATCACACATCGGCCGGGTGGCTCTCCGAAAGCGGCGGGGGGTGGTGGTGGGTGGGGCTGGGAAGAATCTCAGCACGATTCACATAAAGAGAGAGCAACGCGGCTGCCCAGGAAACACTCCAGAGAGGTTTCCTCTCCATCTCTCTCTCGGTATGCCAGTCGAACCGCATGCGCGTGCAGATGTGGAGCGCCTTCACGTACGAATCGAAAAAACTTCCAACTGAAACCAGGCAAGAGCCCCCATTTTAACCAACTCCTTTTTGCGAAGGGAGACCATGGGGAGAATAAACGATTAAGATTCGAATAACAATGATTTGTCGTCCTTTGTAAAAGGTGCTTAGTTTCTTTTTGTGCTGCCAAATTTAATGGTATTGAGGTAAACAAAGTCCGAATTCGTGCATTGCGAATGATGTCATTCTCTAGGATAACTTTGCATAGATGTGACATTTATCCTCGCTTGTGTACACACATCAGCAACATAGTGCGTGGGGGATGGCCCCTATCTAGCAGCGGATCGACTCCAAGGGCTGTCCATGAACAACACCAACTACCGACCAACCTAACCCACACCAAGATGACGAAGAACCACTCAAGAGTTGCGCTTCTTACAGGAAGACTAATCGCATCGCTGCCGACGCAGTGCTGTGACCCAGAGTCTGCTGTAGGTGAGAATTGGGTCATCCCGGCGGTCGGGCGGAAAAAAAAACCCATCGATGCTCGTACCATTTTACACAGGTCCCCGTAGTCCGACGGCATAACGAGGTTCAACTCGGCACGCTCACTCAGCGAAGCTTTCGGTCGCGTGGGACTGCGGGGGCATCGTCACCACCCGCCGGCAACGCGTCGCTCGTGGCGGGGAGGCGGGGGGGGGGAGGCGGTGGTGGCGGAAGTCGCTCGTCCGTACTTTGCCGCGCGGGCCGACGTACCTTTTCGGCGGCGTCGGAGCCCTCGGTCTTGAGGCGTGACTGCAAGCCGGCGATCTCGTTGGTGAGCGAGCGGTGCTCGGCGTCCAGCTGCTTGCGCGCGGCCGCCAGCACGGCCGTCTCCTTGGCCGACTTGTAGCGGCTCACGGCCTCGTCGAAGGTGCGGTAGGCGGCGAGGCGGCGCGACACCAGCCCCACCGTCTGCTCCACGATCGACGCCACCTTCATGCGCGTCTCCACCGCCGGGTCCTGCGAGGCAGCGCCATGGTGGGGGTGGTGGAGAGGGGAGCGGGAAGGCCGGAAATAAACAAAACAAAAAATTGACGGATGACGAAGCAGGAGCCGGGGCCAGCCCCCTATATGTTTAAAAAGGTAAAGGTGCAGCCCTGCAAGTGCTTTGCTGGCACCACTCCTGGAGCAAGGGCCTCCACTGTTGAGCACTCGAGAGCCTCTCTAAAAGAGGGCGGGTGGGGCAGGGGGGGGCGGGGGGGGAGGGCAGCCCCCCTCCCTCCGTGGCACTGGGGCGAGCAGGAGGGGCAGCCCCCCCCTCCCCCCGTGGCACTGGGGCATTTGGGGCGAGGCGGGGGCCGTCACCTTGGTGATGGAGAAGTCGAGACGCACGTAGACGATGACCGTGAAGAAGAGGATGTAGAAAGCGGCGACGACGAGCAGTGGCTCCTGCAGCATGAGCACCTTGTTAAAGGTGTAGTAGAGCTGTGGGCACGCAGGGAGGGGACAAGCACACGCCAGCATCACCGCCGCGTTGGTTCGATCGGCGGTTTAGACGACTGGGCTAAATTAAAGCTATTTTCAGAACCAGAATCTCTCGGCCTCCACCACTCTGAAACACTGAAAAGTGTGCGACGTTGTCATTTGACTTGAGCGGCATTAAGTGTTTGACCTCCGGTGTGGTCAGTGGGTGGGCGAGTAGGCGGATGATCAAGTGAGTGAAGGGGTGGGTGAGTGGGTGGGTCAGTGTGTGAGCGAGCTCGAGGCGTGCAGTGTGGTGGTGGTTGAACGCAGCGTGGACGAGATGAAAGAGCCGGTCTAACATACCGAGTCTTCAACGTCTACGTACGTTTAACCTTTTCCGTACCGCACGTAGCCAACCGCATGCGAAGTTCACGTTAACGGTAATCACGGCCTCAAATCCGGAAAAATTCGCAGACTGCCGATTTTTTCCTTTTACAAAAAAAAAAGGGGGACCGGGCAGTTGTAACGCACCACAAAGTCCTGGATGTGGTTCTCCACCAGGTTGCTCTTGTGGGCCACGATGACGGGCCGCCCGAACGTGTCCAGGTAGGTGAAGTGCTGCTCGTCGGGCGAGCGCGACACGGAGTACGGCGGCTGCACCTCGATGTTCCTGCGCGCCCACGGTGCGGACGTTACGTGCGAGCGTTACGCGCACGTTTCACGCGGCGCGCCCTCCTCTCCCTCGGCGAGGCATCGATCCCCTCAACCATCATTCGCCCCCCTCCCCCCCTCCCTGAGACTCGTAATACAATAAGGCGATGCTTTCATGACACCGGTCAAAGCAAATGTACTGTAGAAGCGTCATCGACAGATGCTTAATATTCGAACGGCGACGTGGCCGGTAAACGTTTTGAACGGCGTCGCCCTGAAATTTATTGCCGACTCCACTCCTGGCAGAAGGGTGTCTACCTGCGGGAGCTCTAGAAAGAGCTGTTAAAGAGGGTATTTTTGGCCTACTCTTCCACGCTCGCCAGACTTCTTGTAAGAGGCGTTAATACCCGCGCGCTTTACCCCATCACAATCACACGCGACCTACCAATCGAGTAACTTGCAGTGTACTCATTTATATCTGCTGGGTGGACAGAGGCGGTGTGCATCGCAACTCAATTATTTTTAATTAACAGGTAAGGCCCACTGAGCTACGTAGCTCTTTTTCAGAAGCGACCTGGCCACAAATGATAGCTCAACGAAGTGGCTTAACGTGTGGAAATTGATAGCAGTACCCAAATACTGTAAAAGGATGTTGTTTCTAAATGTGGCGGGGAAAAACTGGAGGCGCCAGAGAAAAATTAACGTGACCCACGGTGAGAGACAAGCAGACTTCACGTTTCCAACAGGCGTCAGGGTCGGGATTGAACCCACGACCTCCTGTAATACCAGGCGAGGTATTTAACATCTCCCAGCCGCCGGCAACACCCAGACGGAAGGACTGCCGAAGCCCCCACGGAGTTTGAACCGAAGCGGCGACCTCGGGATTCGCGAGTCGAGCGTGCCGTTCGTTAACATCCCACGGGGAAGCGGCAGCAACCCTACACGTCCTGGAGGGAGCCCGAGCTAACTGCTGACCGCATGCGTGACGGGGTCGGGGGGGGGGTCTCGTAGTAGCTGTGCTCGCAGAGAAAAACGAAAGGCGCATGCGACTTTGACGGACAGAGAGAGAGAAATATGTATTAAATATCAAACGCAACGTACTTGGCCCCCTCGGGCAGGATGATCTTGACCGTCAGATCATCGATCACTTGGTCGTCGAAGACGTGGTCGACAAAGCGCATCTTGAGCGCGTACTGCTCGCCTGGGGGACGAGCAGAGGGGGGGGTGGTGGTGGTGCGGGGTGTGTGGGCGGTAAGTGGGGCGGGGGGGAGAAGACGATGAGCGGTCGTTACAGACGGGGGGGGGAGGGGTCAGCGGAGGGGGGGGGTGGGAATACCCACCGGTATTTTACCGATCCCGTGACCTTGCTCGAAAAGTGTGGCGAACCCCATTTTCGTGCTTGGGAGGGGGGGTAGCCGGGGGGGTTGTGGGCCCCATCGTACCGTGGTGGAAGAGGTACTCGTAGCTGGGCAGGTTGTAGCCGATGTAGTAGTGAGTCTTCCAGCCGCCGAACAGCGGGAAGCGAGGCCGCACCTCCATCTCCACCGAGTCGTCAAGCACCAGCAGGTTGCTCGTGGAGATGTTTCCGATCTCGTCGCGGTAGTAGACGTCTTGGGCAGCCGCGGGGAGGATCGTCTGCCAAGGAAACGGCGGTCGTCACCATCGTCGTCGCCTTCTTCAAATCCAGAAGCCCGATTGTCACATGCTCATATTCTCTCTCTCCACGCGCTTCTATATTCCACGCCACTTGCCTAGTCACATCCACTGTCTTCGCACAGAAAATCCACAGGCCAACGTAGAGACCCACAGACTTGCGTTCGCTTACGTTATTCATGGACAAAATGTTCCTGCTGAACGCGCCATTCACCCAGCGCGGCGTCTCTACTACCAACGCGATTTCAAGCTTTCGTGACTGCAGGGATTCATCTTCTTGGTTCTTTCGGTAAAGTCACGTAGAAGGGAAATAATAAAAATAAAACATAATAAAATAATTCTCACGACGTTTCGGCCACAACGCAAGCCGCCGTCCTCAGGTAAAGAATGAAACACCACCAAGCTTGGAGCGTATATTTAAGCTGGGTTGGAGGGGGAAGAAGAGCGCCTTGACAAAATAATTTGCATATCAAGATATGCAAATTATTAGCGACCCACAGACTCGCGTTCGCTTACGTGATTTATGGACAAAATGTTTCTGCCGAACGCGCCATTCGCTCAACGCGGCGTCTCAACTACCAACGAGTCAAAACACGGGATCCTTCTTGTAATCGGGAAGGCCCAACTCTACTCCGTCCCAGGCGTCGTAACTTGAATGGGTGGTGGTGGGGGGGGTGGTGGGGTGGGCGGCACCTTGAAGGACTTGATGGAGGAGACGCCGCTGTCGGGCTGCCGCTGGTAGTCGTAGCGCGAGAAGGGCCCCTGCAGGACGGCTCCCGAGTGGCGCAGATCGAGCGTCTCCTCCACGGCGATGTTGCCCCAGTGCGACACCTCGATGACGCGCGTCAGCCGCGTCACCGTCAGGAAGGGAGAGTTGTTCTCGTAGTGCACGCGCAGCGGGTCCTGTCGCGATCGCGGGGCGAGACAACCGGGGTCGGGGCGGTGACCGTGAACGATTAGAGCGGTGGTTCTTAACCTGGGGTGCACGCACTCCCTGGGGGTACGAGATGCCCTTTCTGGGGGTGGCGAGGCATGGTCATATTTTTTTTTAGGAGGTAAATCATCGAAACACAAATTAAGCACGGGCACGTAAGTAACAACTTACTTTGTTTCATTAAACCTATGTATTTATTGACATTGTTATTTTTTTTTTTACGATTGATAGCCAAAGGGGTGCAGCAAGGCTGCAGAAAATGTTAAAAACCACTGATTAGAGCAACGTTGATTTGGCGGCGGCGGCGGCGGCGCAGCTGCTACTACCGCTGGGTTGGCAGTGGCGCACAAGGACAAGTGACATCGCAAAGCGTTCGTCATTGACACTGTGGCCTTGACGGGCGACGCATCGAGCAGTGGCCGTTCTTCACGGCAAACAAGATTCCGGATGGAGGGGATAATGAGATGCTGCTCTATTATTTAAGACCGGAAGCAATAAGAGAGCTTCACCATTCTTGCCCGATGAAGCTGATTGTAACTATCAGCAAAACGTCGCACTCAAATTTTAAAATGCTGTTGAATCTCTCTGCAGCACACCGGTGGGTAAAGAAGTGAATTATTTTGTCCTTTGAAAAAGTGACACATTTTTTACTGACTGGCTGTGTCGGGTGGTGGAGGGTTACGACACATTTATAAATAACGCGATCTGACCCAAAAACCTTTATTATGGGGATAATGAGAGTTGGGAGACTGCAACATCGTACCATGGGGCCCAAGGAGAAATACATTTCTAAAAATGCTGCAGAGCAGAGAAAGAATGACGGCAGGCGTGTAACAATTTGGCGACTTACAAATAACAACAATCCTACGCTCACAATAAAAACGTTGGATTTTTGCACACAGCGTTGGTGTACGGTGCTTTTTCTGCAATATTTTGCTGTCTTTTCTTGGATTTTCTGTTTTCACATAGTCGCTTTAAGATGTTTTCTTGTTCATGTTTTTGTTTTTTGTTTGTTGTGGTTGCACCCTATTCAAGAGCCGAATGGCTCACAGGACTATACCTAATAAATGAAACTTGAAACTTGAGATACATACTGCTTCAAATCGTGCAAGCGTTGTCTTCAGTTTAGTAACGCTGCAACCAAGAATCTATCTCCGGGGAAGTTAAAACACTCACAACGCAAAACCTTCCCCCCCACCCCTCGTGGCGCTGCCCAACCCCGACACCCACGTCCACAGGGGCAGTTGTTGAGGTCAAGGGAAGTGCGACTCACGTAGCTGAAGGGTGCCACGTCGGTGTAGGGCCCGTACTCGATGCTGTCGTCCGTCTTGGTGGTGGTCTGCAGCTTGGAGTAGGACTCCACGGTCTTGGAGGCGAGGCGCACGCGCGTGTTCTGCGTGAGCGTCGGGTAGGGCGAGTAGAAGTAGTGGTTGCCCTCGAAGACGACCAGCTGGCGTTCGGTCTGCGCGATCTTCGACGGGAACGGGGAGAGCGAGTGCGAGAACACCGTCTCCGTCGCCACCGTCACGCGCTCCCCGGGGCCCAGCGGAGATGCCAGGTGAACCTTGTACGCCGGGCCACTGTGGGCGAGACAAAGATCCCCCTTGGTACAACTTTAACAGACTTTTGGGGCAAGTGCTGTTAAGCGGGCACCTACGAAGGGACGGTACAAAGCATACGAGGGGGTGGGTGGATAGCACCACGCGACGGAGAGAGACGCACACGTAATAATAATTCCATTAATATATCGCTTTTCATCAAGGATCTCAAAGCGCTGTACAGGACACTGGGCATAAATTGTTTTATGAATATATTTGAAGAATCCATTTACTAAATGAACATGCGCATGTCGTTTCATTCCCTCTTTGATGCATTCGGTAAAAGGAGCAAGCATGTAACGAGTTGGCTTGCCGCGATATTGCTTGTCATAATGATTCCATTCCAAATTTCACGACATGACAATAATTGCGATATCAATTTTCCACAGCTTAACGATTGCATTTCGCATTACTGTTGTATTGTTTTTCCACCTTGCTGTACTCTAAGAGCCCCTTGCAGTGACAGAAGTGACGGGAGGTCTGGGGTTAATGGGTGGCCCCACAATGGTACCTGAAGGTCCCCGTTTGGCCCAAGGAAATGAACGGTCTCCCACCTCTGGCGAATTCACAGGGACAGAAACCCGTGATAGTAGTAGTAGCGATAGAAGAGTGATGAGGAGGCGACTGACCACCAGTGTGCAAGTGACGGGAGTGAATTGAATATGGAATATTCAAAGGAAAGTACCGATATTTGTTTAATCCGGTGAGAACTCAAAGAGAGACCAGGATATAGATGCAATTTGCAATCGTGCCCTGGGCCACCAAAAATTACGAAGGCAACACAAACAAAATTACGTAAAGCAATGAAGCAAATAGAAATAAGAACAAAGGCCACCGTAACATAAAAATGTTAATTATTTCACAAACTTAAAAATACGTTAAATAATAAATCCTTTGCCGCAAAGTGGGTTGCAGAACACATTGAACAGACACAGGGGGTGTGCCGTTGTACTCGTGAAAAACATACGGGGGGGCAGGGGGGCTATGGGTGGTGACCTGCACGGTTACCCTGTGTCCCTTGATGGTCGTTTCCGAGATAAGGAGAGAGGGGTCATCATCGAACACATTGAACAGATACAGGGGGTGTGCCGTTGTACTCGTGAAAAACATACGGGGGGGGGCTATGGGTGACCTGCACGGTTACCTGTGTCCCTTGATGGTCGTTTCCGAGATGAGGAGAGAGGGGTCATCATCGTCACTGGATTTTAACTGTAAAAGACAAACGTGTCAAGAAAGAATTAACAAGCGCGTCAACGAAATTAGACGTGCACAACCTTTCATTCTTGCAGCTTTGTAACAGTATGCCGAGACGGTTTTTATTTTACACAAAGCATTTTCAGATAAATCAGTCTTTGGACGTGGCTATCCATCTGTGTTGTCGCAGCCAGCAAAACTTTTAGTTATCATTTAGCACGGTTGTATGCCTTTATGCAGCGAAGTGCTTTGCGAAAAAAAGTACACGTTGATGGGGCGACGCGACAGTAAACGCTTCTCCCAATGACTCCGATTTCCAATGCACTTGGCGCACATTGTGGAAACCGAGATGAGTGTGCTGGATGAAATTTTTGCCAATGGGAAAAAAAATCTGTCGAGTTCCCGACTGAGGGTCTGCCATGGAAAAAGAAAACCTTGATAACCCACGGAAGGTCCTTGTTGAGAAGCAAGCGGTTACAGCGAGTGATTTTTATCGTTATCAAATTCGTTGCATGCTCAGCGAAATCGATCTAAAGGGGACTACAACCAAGTGTTTAAACGAGGGCAGCACGGGTTATCATTTCAGTGAAATGGCCAAAAATAAAACCGCTGCTGGCTCGAATTTGCATTAAGCCAATGCTCATCCTCCGTTTATAGGCCCTGAACCAGTCTCATACATTCTACATTCTTATGGCCATCCACACAAAGTGGTACTGGTACCTACTTTATCGAGCCTGGAGAGATGATGTGCTGAGTCAACCCCACCGCCCATCCCGGCGCCCACCGAGATTTAAACCCGCTTCGCTCTACCACCCGAGTAAAATGTGAATTGTCAAGTGTTTTTTTTTTTACAGGATATCGCCTCAAATTATGTCATTCATATTCTCGGTGTCTCTCCATGCAGTGCGCATCGTTTGACCATGCTTCACCACGCTGGTCTGTACGGGTTTGTGAAGGCGGGGGGGGAGCACATGCAGGAACACACAAGTTACCTGAATTCTGACTCTGAATTCGGAAAATAACAGGCCATGAGAGGTTTTTGGGTTAGATGGTATAAATATAAATCTGACGCTGTGGGTCTATCAGGTGCGAAGACAAGAGGGGGGGGTTATAACAGGCCAGTTTGTGGGTAGCTCACGTAGCAAATGGTGAGGTTAATAAAGGAGGGGAGTGGGCAGAGCGGTGGCAGAGTGGTTAGCGCACAGTGCTACCAAACCAAGATATCCACGCTCGATTCCACGGCCTACATCAGTGGCGAGCGATTATAAAAAAAATCTGCCACCCGCGATCACCGTTCAGTAAAATCACCGAACTCTTCCGCTTTCGTGCGGATTAATAGCGGCAGATTAAAGATGTAATTTACATGCTGTTATCCACGCAATTGTCTGTTCAGAAGCAAAAGAGTGGATCCCGCCCGTTCCCTCCTTTGCAGGAGTGAAGGGACAGGAGCAGCATCAGCGGCGGAGTGTTTACGATGCGGGTCGATGGTTTGGGATTCATGACCGCACTTTTGATGCCCTATTTGTGGCATCGCCCGGCCGCATCGGCCGCATCGGCCACATGGCCCGGTCCCGATTCGGGTGATGGTCTACCACCGCACCGGCCGGAGCGGTGAAACGTATGGTGCCCGACCACAAGCAACATTTGACGCGTGCGAATTATTATTGTAAGTTTGTTTGTTTTGCCCACGTCAATTATGACTCGGGCGTGCGATTACAGCTGGCCTCTCTAGCTGGCCTCTTTCGTGTGGATTAATAGTGCCACAAATGTGGCATCAAAAGTGCGGCGATGAATCCCAAACCATCGACCTCTAAAAGAGGCCAGCTAGAACTTTCAGGCCTTCATCGAGCGGTGGATCGAGCGTGACCGCCAGCGAGCGCTTAAGGCCTTCGCATAGCTGTCAATCCCTTAGCAGTGTTGCCTATCTTATCACAGACCAACTCAGAGCTTAGTGGTCACACCGTGCCCTTGTAAATATCAGCGTTCATCCTACAAAATCCCATCACAAGAGAGAGGACACCAACAGACAAGACACTTTGTGCCCGTATTGAAACGGCTGTTAACGCCGTATGGACGTGCAAACTCGAATTTCCCTGTACAGGGACACGGGGTGAGGAAGCGAATGGGTCCCACGGCGAAGTCATCCATCGAGCAGTGGATGGAGCGTGACAGCTGCCTACGTGTCACTCGGGCTGCGGCGCAATTCCCTACAGCGCATAGGCACCCGCGTGGGTGGGGGGAGGGCGGGTTAAGGCGGCCATCCCATTGGCCGAGACCGCGACGACTGCGCGGTTTTCCCATTGGTGGAGACGCATCCGGGGGGCGGGGGGGGGACGAGAGGAGGGAGAAAGGAGGAGCGCAGGGAGAAGAGTGGGAGGGAGGAGAGGAGGGGGCGGGAGGGGGGGGGTGGAGAGGGGGGCAGGGAGGGGAACAGGGGTGGGGGGCAGGGGTGGAGAGGGGGGCAGGGGTATGGAGGGGGGGGGGGCAGGGGTATGGAGGGGGGGGGCAGGGGTGGGGAGGGAGGGGGGGCAGGGGTGGAGAGGGGGGCAGGGAGGGGGACAGGGGTGGGGGGCAGGGGTGGAGAGGGGGGCAGGGGTGGAGAGGGGGGCAGGGGTGGGGAAGGGGGTGGGGGGGCAGGGGTGGGGAGGCAGGGGTGGGGAGGGGGGGCAGGGGTATGGAGGGGGGGGGACAGGGGTATGGAGGGGGGGCAGGGGTGGGGAGGGAGGGGGGCAGGGGTGGGGAGGGAGAGGAGGGAGAGGAGGGAGGGGGAACGGAGGGGGGGGCAGGGGTGGAGAGGGGGGCGGGGGTGGAGAGGGGGGCAGGGGTGGGGAAGGGGTGGGGGGGCAGGGGTGGGGAGGGAGGGGGAGTGGAGGGGAGGGAGAGGGGTGGGGAGGGGGGGAAGGGGGAGGGGAGGGGGTGAAAGGGGGAGGGAGGGGGGAGGAGCGGAACGGGGGGGGGGGGGTGAGGGAGGAGGGGGTCGAGGCAGCCCAGCCAATGGGAGCGCGGCACCGCGCCACCCGACTCCTATCAGCGCTACCAAATCTACACCGAGGCCGAGGAAGTTCCAAAGCGAAAGCTTGGCGGGCCCAGCAGCAGCAGAGAGGCAATGAATGGGTGGGAGGGAGGCAGGGGGGCCATACGGGATTATGGGATTAATACTATAAACTCTCGCGTTTTACAGCCTTGGTATCCACCGTTAAGACGAGGGAGGGAGAGGGCAGACAACGGAAGGCATCCACAATATCGGGGCAGATAAAAGACGCAGCAGGTTTGAGTGTGGAGAGGGGGCAAGGCAGAGAGAGACAAATGCCGACTAAGACGTCCTCTCGAACCTGTCCGTGCAATGTCCACAGAGGGTCAACGCCCAGGCTCGCTCCACTGCTCGATGAAGGCCTCACCTGCGACGCGTCTAGCGTGTCAAATTATTGGGCGATGCGCAAGGGTCATTGCCCGAAACGTCGCTTGCATTACCTCCCCCCCCCGAAGGCAGTATTATTTATGTATTTTGCATTGTGTATCGTATGTGTTGTATGATCATACGTCGCCACTCGCCACGTTGGTCAATGCGAGCTGAAGGGGAGGCCCGGGAGAGACGAGCTTTGTGAACCACGGCCCCGGCATCGCAAATCAGACGATCGCGGTCAAAGCTCAATGAAATATAACCCGTTGGCTATAGGACTCGGAACAAACCCACGGGTAGAAAACGCACAAGACATCACACAGAACGACGCGGACACAAACGGAAAACGTCAAGCAGAGGGGCCCGATGACCTCCCCCCCCCCCCACTCTCCTCCCCCCCAAAAAACTTTGCGGCCTTTTTTCGAGTTGCAAATTCATTCATGGCCGTCATCAACGACTTGAATTCTCCGACCCCGCGAGAGACACCGTGGGGGGGTAAGGTGTGAGCGGCAGACATGAGAGAGACACACACAGAGACACACACACACACGTAGCGCGCCCGTGCCTTGGCGCCCACGAAGGCGAGATGCGGAGCGATCTCGGCGTCGAAGACGAGGAAGAAGTGAGTCGCCGCCTCCGCGCCTCGGTTCAGCAAAGTCACGTCCGCCGTCGACTTGGCCACGTGCGTCGACAGGTCGAGCAGCCTGCGAACCTCCTCGTTCACCAGCGTCTCCTCGGCCCGACTGACGGCGGCGGCCAGGAGGAGAGCCCAGGAGCAGAGCACGAAGGCTCGCGTCGTGAGAGTCGCCGCAGGAGCCATTGTCGCAGCTTCAGCCTGTCGCCGCTTGTTGCTCAGGAAGCTCCGTCAGCCACTCACGACCGCCCACGTGGCGACGTCGACACGTGGGCGGGGGCAAGTTCCGGGTGAGCGGGCCACGTGACGAGGCTCCGGACCAATGGGAACGCACGACTGAGATGCGGGGTGGGTGGGGTGAGTCGGGTGGGTGGGGCTTAAGTTTTTTTGTATCGATAACCCGGATTGATTCGAATTAATCGATTATTTTAAAAAAAGTTCGAAAAATTATCGAAGATTCTTCTTCTTGGTTCTTTCTGTAAAGGCACGTAGAAGGGAAATAATAAAAATAAACCAACAAAAGTTTATTCTAGACTTGAAGCTTTCGTGACTGCAAGGAATCATATTCTTAGGTGTTTTCGGTAAAGTCACGTAGGTAAAACATCAAAATTAATAAAAATAATAAAATAAAATAAAGATCTTTATTTTATTATTTTTATTAATTACCGAAAACACCTAAGAATACAACAAAAGTTTATTTTATTTTATTATTTCCCCTCTACGTGACTTTACCGAAAGAACCAAGAAGATGAATCCCTGCACGTCACGAAAGCTTTAAATCGAAATCGAAGATTCTGTTTACACAGGTGGCGTTGGCCGAGCGGGAGCGCGTTCACCATCCAATTTGCTGCCGACAGAGAGTCACGGGTTCGAACATTTCCAGCGGCCGCCCTGGTTATTTACTACTGCGGAGGTATCGACACAACCGCAAAAAACTACCAACAGAACGTGGCATCTTGCTTCATAGTGAACGTAATAGCAAGCGACGTGAGAGGAGGTCACTGCGTGCCAGGCGTCACGGTCCGAATTTGAAATTCGCAAATGATCCCCCATACATTTCAATCAATGCACCCCCCCACCATACTCCTGAAAGCAGTGCCGGATTAAGCTAGTGCGGGGCTGTAGCATATGTTATAAAGGGGCCCTAAATAAGAAAAAACTAATATTAAAATACATTTTTATTTGCATAATAATTTTTCATTTGCTATACAGCCAGATAATACGGCAAATCGCTAACCTTAAACACCCAGTCGTTCATAAAAGTTAAAGGCGGTATAGTACTATAGTAATTGAGCAAGTGCAGAATCACTGAACCGGAATTGATAGCTTGAAAGCATTTAGCGCGGGGCCCTTGCAAGTGCGGGGCCCGTAGCATATTTAGCTACTTGTGCTACTGGCGCACATAAGTTGATATCAGAGAGCTCTACCCCCCGAGATCAATTCAAGTGACCTTCTGGTCCATGCAGTAGAGAGCAGCACCTTCCCCAACCGCTCTACTGCAGAGAGAAATGTTTGCCACGTGAGAGTACCACCAATACAATATTCTATTTAGATTCTCGTAAGAGCTGGACATATAGCCACACTAAGTGCAGAGCCAAAATTAATGTGATGGGCGGATGTTTTTTTTTGGCAGGCAGTTAGATCGCGTATATATAGACGCGTCGTTAAACCCGCCACGACCCGACACGGCCAATTAGTAAGGTTTGTCACGTAAACACAACATGGCAATTCGTTACCAGTTCAGCACACTGGTGTGTTGGAGAGTAAACCCACATCTATAATTCGAGATGTTCCGGTAAATACAACCAGCATCATCAGGCGACAGCCAGAGTTCTGGAGAAATGCTCCTCCTTGGGTCTGAACGAGAGGGGTAAATGTGACGTAGTCACTCATAAGCCAATCAGGTGCGAAGACGAGAGGGGGTGGGGTGGGGGTTTAATGTATCATATAAATTACAACGGATACCCATTACCGGTTGGGTTATTTATTGGGTGATCAACATAAATAATGTGCATTCTTCTTCTTGGTTCTTTCGGTAAAGTCACGTAGAAGGGAAGTAATAAAATAATACAAATAAAACATAATACATTTATTTTATTATATTCTATTATGTTTTATTTTTATTATTTTATTACTTTCCTTCTACGTGACTTTACCGAAAGAACCAAGAAGATGAATCCCTGCAGTCACGAAAGCTTTAAATCGAAATGTGCATTCTGTATATATCAACATATATAATGTGCATTACATTATGTACGCTGATTATGCGATCTAACTCAAAAAGCTATATTGTGGATAATATTGCTTCGAGAAAGCCTCCGTGTTCACCAGGCAGTCATGTATGACCGGGCTGAGATGATCGACTGACTGCACAGGGGAGAACCCAGTTTTATCACGGGCAGTGGCTACCACAGTTCGAACCCCTCTTGACCCCGACCCGACCTCCGCGATAAATGGAAATACTTAGATACGACTTTTGCGAATGAATTAACGCATTCAGAGAACGGCAAGGAAAGTTGTACATTCATTTAATAGAACTGTATATCTACGTTATAAAAACGGATACATTTTGACATCACCGTACCATGACAACCCCAATTACACCACCACAAACAATGTAACTTGCGTATTTACAAGGGCACGAATGCTGCGTCACCGGAAAATGCGCACACAATCCGATTATTATTACTATTGTAGATGATAATGGAGGGCTTCAATATCCCAACGAAGTACGCGTTAACATAAAGCACCTTGTCCCAGCCACCATATAGAAAATATAATGCCGACAACATTCACGGACACAAGCCTCGATGCAAAACCCCAAGGAGCAACATGCAATGAACAATGCCACGGCTAAACATTACAGCAGATTTAGTTCCACCCCCCAAAAAAATAATCCCCCCACATTCACCACCAAAAAAAGCCAACTACACATTCTCGTTCCGTGGAGCTTTTTTTGCCAACATCCATCTCAACAGGCGCCACCTGCTTCGTTACAATCTACCACCACCAGGCGTCGCGATCCCGGGCTGGAGGTCGAAGGTTACTGTCACGGCCACTGCCTGCCAATGTGCTGGGAGGAGGGCCTTCCCCAATAGAAGGATTTTCATTGTTTTATTTTTATTAATTTTAATTTAATTTTTTACCTACGTGACTTTACCGAAAGAACTAAGAATAGGAGCTCTAGAGCCTTGAGCTGTCAAAACCAGGAGGGACGTGCATACAAAGACTCCTCTACTTACGAACGTGCGCGGTTCCAGAGGTCTGTCCCTAAGTCCAACTTTACTCCTGTCGATTTCAAACATTGTAGGCGGCATCTACACGAAACATGGGGAATGGCTTTAAAAATTATATATCATGGATATCTAGATGCCACCGGTTCTTCGCGTTCTGCAAATGTAGATGCCACCACAGCGGCCGTTGAACTTACGACTCTCGGTCCGAACGGGCGACTGGACATACGGACAGGTTTGTTCGTATCTCTGAAAGTTCATAAGTCTATTGTTCGTAAGTAGAGGAGGCCCTGGATACACTTTGAAAATCCGCCGCTCTATTCGTTGTGGTGGGTTTTTTTTGGCTGGGGAGAGAGAAGACGCCTCACAGCACAGATACACCGCACCAACCATGGGATTTGCCGCACCCGTCTCTGCTACCCACAGCATACCTCCCCCCGCAGCACCACAACAAATCTCTTGCGATTTCCAAGCAACCATCCAAGGCTCACGCCCGCCGAGCCTTCAGGATCTGACGAGAGATCGGGTGCGTTCTGGGTGGTGACGGACACCACAGCGCCAACTCTTGAAGATATAACCTCCCCTTTTGGTTGTCACGTTCACGCAGTTAACAGTTCGCGACAAAGGCAACGCGAGTCGCTCGCAACATGTTGCGTGCAACCGGCGACTTGGAGTCGGGGGGGGGAGGGCTGACTCACGGAATCGGTCCGGCAGAACGGATTCATCCCAAGTCCCGTCACAATAAGCATGTTTTTTTCTTCTTTTGCTTCTTAAGACGATACACGTGAACGTACTTTTGACGCACAACGAAGGTCAAGTACACCAATGGCTAAAAAAGCACGAGAAATACATTCAACCCCACCACCACCACCAAACTGGCCTTAGATAACCAACAACTGCGAAAATCAAAATGGTACAATTATAATACACGCGCGTACAGCGTAACGCAGCCGCTCAAAGCCACGGCGACACCATGGGGCAGCTGTGCTACATCTCGATTTAAAGCTTTCGTGACTGCAGGGATTCATCTTCTTGGTTCTTTCGGTAAAGTCACGTAGAATGGAAATAATAAAATAATAAAAATAAAACATAATAAAATAATTCTCACGACGTTTCGGCCACAACGCAAGCAGCCGTCCTCAGGTGGAGAGCAGGTCTGTCGAGAAGACAGCGTCTGAATTCCTCCACCTGAGGACGGCTGCTTGCGTTGTGGCCGAAACGTCGTGAGAATTATTTTATTATGTTTTATTTTTATTATTTCCATTCTACGTGACTTTACCGAAAGAACCAAGAAGAAGGCTCTGCTACAATTCCGTGCCCGGGTGGAGTGACATGACGCATCAGTCGTAAAATCTTGCACACGAAACGGCACTTCACTGACGATGGACACAATTCTCTTGCACGTGGTGGTGGCAAGCGCTGTGGAGATTGCCGTGTTCTCCAAACCATACAACAAAACATTTGAAAGTACAGTGACGTTGTATTGGCGTGTCTCATTAACCGGTAGGTCTATTGGTACCACATTTGTATAACTTTGTGGATTGACACACGGGCGCAAGATTTGGGTGCGTATCTCCAGCGGGTCTTATTATCCAGAGAATACGGTAATGGTTTCATAAAGGATTATGGGGAAGGGTGACGTTTCAGGCAGGAAAACACGCGAGTTTCCCTGTTTGACGTGAATAATTCGTTAAAATGCCACATTTTTGTTATTTTTTAAAACTCAGGTAAGAGTTTACACATTTTGGTATTTAGTTTTCATTTCAAAGACCCCTACGTTATATATATATGGAATTTGACAGAATATTCATCGGATTTTATTAATTTTGACAGGAATAACGTCAGAATGGTTCTGAGCGTGGCCAAAAACGTCCACACTTTCATTTGATGTTGCAATAATAATTTACAGATTTGCAAAAAAAAAATGTATATTCTGGCATTTCTTGGCCCTCAATGGTGAAACGGTGAAATGAGTAGTAATAAAACATTGGTAAAACACGAACCTCTGAAAATATCTCAGCTTCGTAAAACTTTTTTGGTTGAGGGGCAGGTGGTGGTGGAATATTTAACACAAGTACAATACGAGGAATCCTAAGTAAAATGTTTGTACCTGCTTTCGTCCAAGATATTCATCTACATAACACACCAACACCAAAAATTTCCCGCCCCTTGGTTCTCTCCATCCTGAGATTTATAAATTCTCCCACCGCGAGTGGCTCCCCAACTACGAGAGGGCAACCGATAAACTCGTCGCTTGTTTATCCAACACCGTACCGATAAACTTCAGACTTTAATGCTATAAACGTTAAAAAAAAACACACACTTGCGTTCGGATGCAATTCACAACGGCTGCTAGACGTGAACATTTTACGTTTAAACCAGGCAACGTTAGTTACGCACAAAGTCCCCCCCCCCCCCCCCCGTACAATTAAAAAACAGCGTGTGATTTTTAAAACATTGCGAATAGTAACAGACTGAAAGTGTTACAAAATACAATGGTCCACAAAGCAATAATAACATGATTCAAAAGTGATCCATTGAGTGGGACTGCACTGTGGGAATAAAATAAGAGGCTTTAATAGACAGTGTTTAAGGACTATTACCTAACATCTCACAAACACGCACACCAAATCACCAAAGCACATTAAACATACCATAGGGCACACTTACACAAGCTATCCAAAAAAGCACTATAATCTAACACAGTTTTCACTTGCATACCTCACGGGAGATACAATTCCCAAGTACGTTTATCATAACAATAAAACTAATCATTGTACAATGTGTGCCATTTGTGCCTCGAGTGTGTACGGTGTAACACGTAGGAGCACCAAAACAAAATAATCCATTCCCGCTTTCCACCCCCCCCCCCCAAACCATCACACCAGGCGGCGCTATCCTACAAATAATGTGAACCGATGCCATTCGGGTTACATTCGGTTCTTACTGTTACATGAACAGCTGCTGTTTGCTCACCACCGACCTCTGAGGGCCCACGTGCTTTTCGTTCATTAACGATCGGGACGGAGCGAGCATCTGCTCCTGGTCAAGGTAAAATGTGCAGGCCCAGCAATTACAATATTCCCTTGTTATTCGCGGATTTGCTGTCGGCGAGGGCCGGCATTCCCTCGTTATTCACGAACTTGCCATTCGCTACTTTGGCTGTCCGCGAATCGCATCGGAAACTCTCTACACGACTGCTGCATCGAGAGAGAAAGAAAGCGATGAGAAAGTAATGAGCTATAAAGTGATTAGAGAGAAAGTGACGAGATATAATGTGCTGGGAGAAAACGTGACGAAAGAGAAAGTGGAGATAACAGTGATGAGTAACCGATGACAGAATAAGTAAACCCGTAAAAACAAAGTTTTTCACTCTAAATCCTTTATATGCGTGGCGGCTAGAGTCCTCTCGTCCTCTGGCTTGAGATGGCTGCCACCTATGGGTCAGATGATTTTCTGCAGTATTAAACAATTGGTAATTAAATATAATATTTTTGTCCTATAAAGTGTAAAATTTAGGAAAAAAATTTTCACGAACATTAATTGTCACGCACAACGAGTCTGTGTGGAAAATGTCAACTCGATTGGATCATGGGAAGTGGGTTAAAAAACGACCGAAAGATTTACACGGTCGTAAGCAAGCAAGCAAGCACGCAAGCAAGCAAGCGAACTTAATATAAAGGATTTAAAAAGGGATGAGATAAATAGATTGAGAGACAGGGGGGAACTTCTCGAAGCCATAACAGGTCGGTTTCGTCGGCCAATATCATTCGCGAAATTTCCTATTCACGAGCATCTCCGAAAGGCATCCCTCGCGAATAACGAGGGAATACAGCACGTGCTCACGTCGCTGCCGCATTGACAGGAGCGGTTGAAGGGAGAGTTAAGAAGCCAGCCCATTGTTTCAACTGCCACGCCGGTAGATCAAACCTCGGGGCGCGTGGCTTTCGCTCCTGTCTTTCTTTTGTATGGCCAATGTAGATGCAAAGCAATAATTACAATTTCGCATTCAGGTGGTCAAGCCAGATAACCGCGTCAGGATTAGCGGAGGAATCTATCGCTGCGATGTCTCCGTCGTATTTGTGGATTGGGCCATTGCGTCGTTATACGTTGTGCTACGGTCTGTTCTGGATGACCACAGTCTCACACTACTACTGCAGATAAAGTCACGTAGAATGGAAATAATAAAATAATAAAAATAAAACATAATAATTCTCACGACGTTTCGGCCACAACGCAAGCAGCCGTCCTCAGGTGGAGAGCAGGTCTGTCGTCCTCAGGTGAAGAACAGGTCTGTCGAGAAGACAGAGTCTGAATGACACACCCCTTTCAGACTGTCTTCTCGACAGACCTGTTCTCCACCTGAGGACGGCTGCTTGCGTTGTGGCCGAAACGTCGTGAGAATTATTGTTTAATTTTTATTATTTTATTATTTCCATTCTATGTGACTTTACCGAAATAACCAAGAAGATGAATCCCTGCAGTCACAAAAGCTTTAAATCGAAATTTACTATTGGAAAGTTTACAGATTTTCCATTTGTGCGTCAGGCGTCCCAATCCGCCATGATTTGTGCGGTGGATGCGGTTTAAACTGTGAGCTTTGTGGATGATCAAAGCCAGGGATGTTCTGCGTTGGGTCTTCTACAAGCTTTCACTCTTGCATCGGCTGCCACTGACAACAACACTCGACTGCAGAAGGAATTCCACAGCGTGGAGATCTTCACTGGGCATGTGACAAATCAATCTCCCACTCTCTACGGCTCCATCTCGTCTGCAAGGTCTCTCTCTGGTTGATATTACATCTCATTCGTCGTAACGTTTGGTCTGAAGGGAAAGTGTGCGTAAAATGGACGTGAATGGATGAAGACGGAATGCTACTCTCGTTCGGTTCAACACGTGTATCACAAGCACAAGATTCGATTTGAACGTAATTAAGCAAATTAGTAAATCTGTTATATATCATCATCATCGCTGCAATCCATACAGCAACTACTGCCACCTTGGATTGGTTGAAGTACCTTGACATTCCACTATGATATATGTACAAACTGTTGCTAACATGCCATATAAAAGAAGATCATCATCATCGTTGTCACCGTCAACATACTTACGTTATAATTATCCTCATAATAACAATGACCAGCCAAAACAATTAGAAAACCATACTTAACTCAAGTTTTTTCTGGAATTAAATGTCCCTCTCGTCTGTCTATTTGAGTTGGTAAAACACCTCAAAAATACGTCTGACTTGCCTGTTTGTAAGTTTGCTGTTACGCGATTTTTACTTCTCTCCGAGTCAGGCTGTCATCACGACGCCGGCGCCGACACCGATACGGCAAAAATAAAAACACAATCGTCCCCGTCGAACGTTTTTACCCATTCGTTATGATTTTTTAAAATAAAACAACGAATATTTCCCCGCTCCGAGGACCGCGTGTTATGTCCGTACCAACTTCACTTTTCTCTTGGGCTACTTTTGCGACGAGCCTCTATCGATACGACGCAAAACGTCTCGACTTGTGAAACGTATTTAAAAAAAGGCCGCAAATTAAAAATCTATTCTACTGCCATGGAGTTTTTTTTTGTATTTTCTGTACCAATGCCAGGATCCAGGCGTTGACAGCCATAAAATTGAAAATGTTTTCACGACCATCATGACGAAACCTCGCCGAGTGGGGCGTTACATGCCAGTTGGGATAGGCCGCGCGTTTCCCAATTTCGTGCGAAACAAAAAAACTTTTGGAATAATACGGCACGATGGTTCTGAAACTATAACACGGCAACGTTTTAAAACATTTTTTGCTAAATAACGCGATTTCACAAATCAATCTCCCACTCTCTACGGCTCCATCTCGTCTGCAAGGTCTCTCTCTGGTTGATATTACATCAAATGTTATACTGCGTAGGAGTTTTCAGGGCTGTATTGTACGAGCTCTCGGACACGCTTTCTTCGGGTTGTACCGCGCGTTGTCGCAAACTTTTTTTTTTAAGCTGACAAAAAAATAAATACCTGCAGAAGAAAAAAAATGCACGCGTTTCTAATGATCATTTCATATTAATAATAATTATGCCATAGCTGAACAGGTTGGGTTTGATGGTACAAGACTCCAGGGACTATGGTGAATTCCACTATTTAAAAAAAACAACAACAGTTCCAACTGCATTCACTTTTTTTTTTTAAGCCGTCAACATTTAAGAAGCCGAGAAGGGTACCAGGGCTACAGAGGAATATAAAATGTTATCCATCACCGATATAAATGTTAAAACGAGAACAAATGTTTTTTTAATCTTTCATGAGCAGAGGGCTCCACTGGGTGTTTTTTCAAGAGGTTCTTCCCCTTTGGGACCCTTTGGACAATTTAATATTTTTGAGTTAGGGGCAGAAAGGCGCACGATCGAGCACAGGACAACACTCAAACTCCACGCGCAAAATAATCTGCTGTCCAACAGACTTTGCTGCAGCGCCTTACACACGCACGCACGCAGTACCACCTTGTGAGCGACACACAGGCCACACCCTGCCTCACACCTCTGAAAATCCACCAACCCTGCCGCCGAGTGGCCCGGATCGCGAGCGTGTGGCATCGGAGCCACCTTATTATAGGAATCGCACAGAATGTGGAAATAATCCCCCCCCCCCACACACACGCACGCACGTTTATTTTGAAAAACGAGGTTTGCCCCAATTGTGTATGACGTGGCAATTATCAATGCGGACGCCAATGTGGGCATCCGATTCAAAATTCAGGAGGGTAACTCCGTAGTTGCACGGACAAACCACCTCTCACATTTCTACGCCTCCTACCCCCCCTTCCCCTACTCCCTTCCACCACGACCCCCCCCCCCCCCCCCCCCCCACGAAAACCTTCCCCGAGCGTGAACTCCGGCGTCAAGCCAGCGGGTTAAACGATCGGGCGGGCGGCGGGACCCCTCCCCCCAAGGGCGGTCACGCTGCTACTTGAGCAAACGGCTGAACTCCGGGTTGATGAAGGTGAACTCGCTGAACACCGACTGGTCCATGGACTGCACGAGGCGCTTCTCGTCCAGGGAGAGCCTGGCCTTCTCGCTGATGAACTCCTTGTCGAAGTTGCTGTAGTCGCCGGCAGATTTCTGCGCGGGGGAGGCAAAGGGGGGTCAACGGTCGAGCGAGGGCGGGGGGCGGGGGGCGCGGATCGGCCGACGAGCTGCGGTGGCGGCAGACAACGTACGGCGCAAGTGCCCAGCTGCGCGCTTGCGCAGGCTACGTCCGTGAAGTGCGCGGCGCCCTTCGCGAGAGGTGTGCGGTGCACGAGCGGCGTGACTGCCGGGGCAATGTCGATATTTTAAAACGAGTTGTCGTATTTTTGTGACTTTTTTTTTTATTTGGTCCAACTGGACTGCTGTGTTGGGCCTTTTGGACAGCAGCTCTCGCTTGGGAATAAGAGATATTTATTCTCCCGCACCTCCGATTAACACGGTTGGCTACGTACGGTGCGAACGAAGTTGAACATACAAACGTACATTCTCCACGGGCTCTCGCCTGGGTATAAAGATTTACCTGTGTCTGCCACTCATATGCTGTGGTGGTTTTAACGGGCAGCATGCTGGACTTGCAATCTGGAGGTCGCCGGTTCGATTCCATCTCCCGGCGAGGCAGTTAAAACAACGGTGCGAGTTTCTAAAATCACTCCCCCACCCCCAAACACCGTCTGTCTCTGTGTAATGTCTCCAACCACAGTTCATGAAGTCGGCAGGTTGCGTGTTGTGGCATAAAGTGTGGGTACACCCACCACATCCCACACGTCCTGCCAGCATGGAAGAATAGACCAAATACCCTCGAGAGCGCGGTGTGTAAACCACCAGCGACGACAAGGTCGGCCGGGCGTGGTGCTGGCTACCCAACGCCCTCATGCGCCGTTCCGGCCTTCGTAGGTGCTGCTCGCTAACAGCACTTGCACCAAACCGTCTGTTGAAGGATTTACGGAGGATCTTTGAATGTGTTAGTGGAGGCCCTTCCACCAGCAGTTGCGTGAGCGAACGAATATCAGTGTCATTGTACAAGCTCCGTGCCCTGGGTGGTTAACCCGATCGATCGCTCTTTCAGCTGGCTTTGCCGGGAAAACGAGCCGGCGACCTCTGTACACAACGGACGGAATAAAGAACTAAAGTGGCACAGCGATCAAAGGACGATGCCTCGATGCCCCCGTTTAATCCACGACACTCACCACTTTCGGCTTGAACGGAGGAGTGATCTGTTTCTTTTCCAGGGCGGTCCAGTCGATGGTCTTGAAGAACGGTTGCGCGCGGATGTCTCCGACGATTCCCAGTCGCTTCTGAGGGTCCCTCTCGAACAGCTGTCGGTAGCAGCAGCAGCAGTTTCAACATTCGGTGGAGGAGGGGGGGTAAGCAGGGGGGGGGTAAGTGGGGAGTAGCAGGGGAGGAGGAATCGCACAGAAGGGAGAAAGGATGGAGTCAGCCACGGGGTTCTTACTTAATTACACCTTGGCGAGATTTTAACTACCTCGCCTGGTATACAGGAGGTCGTGGGTTCGATCCCGACCCTGACGCCTGCTGCTGTATATTTGGAGTTAGCGTGTTCTCCCCATGGTCGCGTCAATTTTTGTCCGGGTCCTCCAGTTTTCCTCTCCATATTTAGAAAGTGCGTTTAGATTATTTGGCTGCGACTATAAATCTCCACATGATAAGCCAGGTAGTTGAACTGAAAAAGAGCTGTATGGCTCAGTGGGCCTAACCTGGTGAAATAAAAACAGTTTTGTTTTTAGTTTCATAGGTGCTGCTCGTTAGAGCACTTGCCTCAACAGTCCGTTACAGGCTATACGGGGGATCTCTATCTTTGTATGTGCCTGTGACCAAATTATCCTGATCTCGTTTGATCACAATAGCCAGGCCGTGCGGAGCCTGGATAGAGCGTTGGGGTTGGCGGACCAAAGACAAAGATCCCCATATAGCCTGTAACAGACTGTTGGGGCAAGTGCTGTTAGCGAGCACCTATGAAGGTCGGAACAGAACACGAGGGGGTGGGTGGCCAGCACCACGCCCGGCCGCCTTTGTCTCCGTAGTCACGATGTTTACACACCGCACCAGGTACCCATTCGAGGCTGAGTCGACCTAGGGGAGACCCAGGACCGGTTCAGATAGTCGTCACTGGGTGTTGGCCGTGAGCGGGACTCGAACTCGGGTCACTGGGTTCGTAGCACAGCACGCTAACTGCTGCGCCACCGCTCCCCCCACCATGCACGACACAAGCATTGTCGGCTGCTGAAGGGCAGCGCAGAAACACCCCGTTTGTGCACTCTGACTTCTATGCTCCGGCATCACTGGCACATTTCGACCACTGGGAGAGAGACACACACAAAGCTTACGGATGCAAATTTGACCGACGCGTGGCCCGTGATGTTCCTGGCCCATGAAGACACTCATTTGCACTCCCATCGTGCCAACGTGATTTCCACAGAGACGCCGGTCTCGCTTCGGCAAGTAAAACACATTTATCCCTTTCATTAAAAAAAAAACCTCTTTGGCGTCCAATTCCCCAAATTATATTAAAATTCACGCTACATTTCCATTTGGAACTGCCACAGTGAGCAGCGTATCACCGTCTGTGTCAGCGAATGGCTCGGGAAAACTCCCTCCCTCGACATCCCTCTTCGTATACCCTCTGATTCTGTCTTTTCTCCCACTCTTCAACTTTCTCGCTATTCCTTTATCTTTCTGACTTTTAGCTCCCCTCTTCCTTCCTCCTTCGCCTCTCTCTTCGGCTCGCTGTCCTGCGTGGTAGATCGTAGTTAGGAGGAAGTAGCAGAAGCAGCTGTACCGTTCTGCAGAACTGTTGTTTCGAAGAGTCACTTTAATAGCCGTGTGATCCGTGGTATAACCCAGGCCCATTCCTGTAAATGACTCATTCTGGTCTCTTTAAAGTTCTCACGTGGTTAAACAAATTAAACTTGACCTGGCTCGAGACGCGTTTTATCTTTAAGAGTTGCAGTTGGCCAAAGTGACAAACTAAATTTGGTAGGTAAAAAACTATTTGATCTCTCCCTCAACAACTTTATCCCGAATGTGCCCTCGGCATCACGACGCAAGGCTTGTCGGGGGTTTCCGGCCTCGTGGAGGCAGGTGGGACATTTTTTAAAATTTTTCTATTTTACCAGGTAAGGCCCACTGAGCTATAGAACTATTTTTCAGAAGCGACCTGGCCACAAATGATAGCTTAACGAAGTGGCTTATCGAGTGGAAATTTACCGCAGCCAAAATACTCTGAGCGCATGTTTGGTTCTGAAAGTGGACGGAAAAATCCACGCGAAAACATACAAACTCCAAATACACAGCAGGCGTCAGGGTCGGGATCGGACATAGAGGCGGCCGTGTCATTTTGAATCAGGCTCGGGCGATCGGCCACAAAAAGAAAAGCCGTCGATCACAACTCGTCCGTCGGCAAACTGCCTCGATCGAGTGACAACCCTCACGGCTGCTCCGCTGTACGAGCGCAAGCGCGTGTGTACGTACGTGTGTACGTACGTGCGTACGTGCGTGCGTGTGTGTGCGCCCCACCTTCTCGAGGATGCCGCGCGAGTCGCTGGTGATCCAGCGCGGGTAGTGTGGCACGTCGGTGCGGATCGATTCGAACAGCTCGTCCTCGTCGTCGCCGTGGAAGGGCGACTGCCCGATGAGCATCTCAAAGAGCAGCACGCCAAACGACCACCAGTCCACCGATGTGCCGTACTTGTTCCCCGCCAGGATCTGTCGCCCACGGCAGCGAGAGAGGGAGAGAAAGAGAGAGGTCATGAGAACCAGGAGGGAGGGGAGCCGAGGGGAGGGAGAAGACACAGAGGGGACATCTCCGAATGATCAATAAAAGAGGTTTTTGGGTGGGATCGCATAAATATAAATGTGTCGTTAAACCTGCCACCAGCCAACAGACAATCAGTAAGGTTTGTCACAAACAGAACGTGCCAACTCGTTACTAGTACAGCACACCAGTGCTGGAGAATAAACCAACAACATTTACTATTCGTGTACCGTGACGTTTCACCGATAATTACAACAACCAGCATCATCAGGCGACAGCCACAGAGTTGTGGAGAAATCCTCCTCCTCTTTCGGTCTTAAATAGAGGAGGTGGTCAATGTAATGTCGTCACTTGTGAGTAAATCAGGTGCAAAGGCCGGGGGGGGGGGACGGAGGGGGGATGCGGTTAATATATGGATATACATCTTTTTATTGGATGCGAACGCCTACGTATTAAACCGACCTCCGAATGAGCTACATGCCCTGAAAATGTCGGATACGAACACCACCTCCGGGCAAACTAAGTGCACAAACAGCAACGCTAACGTTGCCGGAATTGGCCCTCCCAAACAACAGAGGTACGGCGTTTGATTTGTGCTCGAATAGCTCCCGCGCTTCAGGCGGATTCGCCCGCGACGCGCCCGATCTCATCGCACCTTCCGAAGCTAAAAGGCAGGGGCCGAGTCTGGATATTGCTCGGATGGGTGACCACCAGGCTGCTTTGGGGCTACACTGTGGGAACACGTCCTGCGTTACTGCCACGACGACTCGCTTGTGGATCATGGAAACAACGTGACCATACTTCACCATGCTGGTCAATTGCAGTTTGGTGAAGGCGGGGGGGGGGGGGGAGCTTTGAATTCATTGCGAACGCGAGTCGCCGAATCGATCCGACGGTCGTTTTGGCGCTAAGTGGCGGCGTCACGGCGAGTGGACGAGTGGCGTTTGCGCTGTACAGTGTGATTCGGCCGGTGGCAAAGGTCAAAGGTTGTGGTTGGGTAACGGCCAACGAACGCCTGGCACAAGACCGCGGTGCGGAAGTGAGAGCGTACCACAAAAGATAAGCGCCAAAACAGACAGTGTAGCGGCAGCTGCTGTCCGTTCCGCTGCGCGCCCACGCGACTCGTGTGGTCCGTGCGCATGCAGAATTTGTAAAATAAACAACTCCAGGTACATTTTCGAACGGGTGGATTCGAAAATCGCGTGGAGAGAATGCTGACATGCAAATAAATGTCGCGCTACCTACGGATCTATATTTTCAAAGATTTGTTTCGCTTTTAATACGGCAAGCACTTTGTGAAATTAACCACAATACCTTGCTCATCTCGTCAAGGAGCATCAAACATCACGCGAACTCCGGTCATCCTCGCAGCGGCTTTTGGATAACCATTGAACTAAGACGGATCACCGCATCACACGCTTTCGGATGAGCTTCTGCGGCCGTCTGGAACACTCTTGCTTCCGATATGAGGAAGCCATTGGAGCTATGCACTTTTAAATCATCGAGATTGAAAACTCATTTCTTTATAACTGCCTCTTGTTTTTAGCTCCTTGTCCTTCCTACCGCACCTCCGATTAGCACGGTTGGCTACGTACGGTGCGAAAGAAGTTCAACATACACACATAATGTCTCCGTAGTGAGATTTCACAAGCTCGCCCAAGCTTCTTACGGTTTAGGAACGAGTCTTCCAACAACTTTGTGTTGTAGGAATAATAATGATTGTGCATGTAGCGTACATAATGATTGTGCATGCGAGTTTGTGGGGGGGGGGGTTACTTGACAAAAACTCCCCTCTGCTGACAAAGTAGTCCCCGTAGCATGGGCCGAACTACTTTGTGGTTGCCCACCAAAGGCTTTTTCAGGAGTTCTTTATCCGCATTGCATTCGCAATTGGGGGGGGAGGGGGGGGGGGGCGGCACTCAAAGGTGCTACGGCTCTTCGGCTAATGTCCACATAAGAGAATTAGAACAATTTGTGAATGGTTTCCCCATTGAAAACGGAAAAATGCAAATAATCGTCGCTGCCTCGGATTTATTTTTTATATTTTGTTCTTATTGTTTCTTCATAATCAACGTCTTTTGGGGTTAGATCGCGTAAGTATAAATGTGTCGGCACCCTCCACCACCAGACCACAGCCAGTGAGGTTTGTCACGTAAACAACGCGCCAGCAGCACTTGCCCCAACAGTCTATTAAAGGCTACACGGGGGAGCTCTGTCGTGTGTGGGAGTGGGGAGGCAGAGTGTTAGCGGTGACAGCGCTAGCGGTGACAGCGCTAGCGGTGACAGCGCTGCGCTCCAAACCCGCTGACCCTCGATCGATTCTCGCTCACGGCCAACACCAGTGACGATTATCTGAACCCAGTCCTGGTTCTCCCCCTGGTGCGGTGTGTAAACATCGCCACTGGGGAGACAAAGGCGGTCGGGAATGGTGCTGGCCACCCACCCCCTCGTGTACCGTGCCGGCCTTAATAGCTGCTACTCGCCAACAGCACTTGCCCTAACAGTCTGTTTAAGCTACACGGGGGATCTTCGCCTTTTCGGTGGTGACGATGTTGACCAGCGGCCGTCATCGTTGGGGCAATACGAGCGATGCCGGTAGTTGTGGCGATCGTTCCGGTGGCGGTGTTGGCGGTGTTGGCGGTGTTGGCGGTGTTGGCGGTGTTGGCGGCGGCTGCGGTGGTCATGCTGGCGGTGCCGGTGGTTGTGCCGGTGTGTTGTGCAGCGAGTGCTGGAGAGATGAACACCTCGGGGGCGATGTAGTCCGGCGTCCCACAGAACGTGCCCGTCTTGAGCTCTCCGCTGATGTTCTCCTTGCACATGCCGAAGTCGGCGATCTTCACGTGGCCGTCTCGGTCCAGCAGAATGTTGTCGAGCTTCAGGTCGCTGTGGGATAGGGGGACGCATTGGCATCGAGCGTTCACGAGCCTTCACGAGTCACCCGAAGCAGTCACGAACCACCCCAACGAGTCATGAGCTTTCACAAGTCATTCATGAACGACCACAAGCTGTCATGGACAGTCAACCCACCACGAGCAGTCCCGAGTAACGCTACGGTGGTCGTGAGAATCGCGAACTTTGAATAAAATCAGCGAAATATTGCAAATTAAGTCGGTAAGGGTAAGTAAGAACATTTGTTAATGCGCACTCTTATCGAGTCCAGTCCATCAGGAATGCGCAAATGAGAATCGCGAACTTTGAATAAAATCAGCGAAATATTGCAAATTTAGTTGGTAAGGGTAAGTAAGAACGTTTGTTAATGCGCACTCTTATGGAGTCCAGTCCATCAGGAATGCGCAAATGGCTTCCGAAACATTGGATTGAGCGCTTCATTTATTTTCTTCAAAAGAGAATGTGAGGATGGTGCATTTATTCAATGGGGGGGTGGTGGGGGGGTAGGCATTTGGTGGTGCCAATGCGAAGTGGTCACCTCATACTGTATTTAGATTCAAATTGTAAGAAAATTACTTAAATCACTCGGTTGGTTTTCATCGTTTCTCTTTTTTGTTTAGTGGGACTTTTAAAAGGTTATTTTACCACTTTTTTTCTTCTCACATATATATATATTTTTATATAAATTCTATTTTTAGGTGGTGCATTATTCCGTTATCGTTCTGTCAACTGTCGTTTTTTTCTTCCCACCTCCCCGCCCGAACCCTCTGCCGTGAATTTAGCAATAAATGACGACGACGATATGAGCATGTCACGAGCCGCAATCACGCCGACGCAAATCGGCCAAACTGACGGCTTTCAATCGATCACAGCGTCCGGCTAGCCGACGCAACCATCGTCCCGCGCGCGTTGAAACCTAGACGGTGGCACACGCTCGTGGCTTGACTACTGCAGGGCGGAACATTCTGTGCTTTACCGATAGATCACGCGATGTAGGTGCAGGAACTGGAGCCCCGACACGATCTCTGCTCCATAGAAGCTGCAAGTGGAGAAGAAGCGGAAACCAATTATGACGCCTTCCGTAGGGTGACGAGATGCGCGCACGTGCGTCATCGCACGGAACGAGATCGGACTCGCAACGCGCACGAGCGAGGGTCGAATTCACAGACGCACACACGGGTAATTTGAAGAGACAGTGAAAGGCACAACAGGAACCGACATGCCTTGAGATTCACATGGCTCACCGAGCTAAATAGCTATTTTTCTCTCCCCGTGTGTCTCCCGTGTGTCTCCCCGTGTGTCTGCCAACCTCCGATTATCACGGTTGGTCACATACGGTGCAAAAAGAAGTTCAACATACACACATTATTATTATTATTGTTGTGATACACGAGCTCATTAAAAGAGCTAAGCAGCATCTGTTTTAAGACAGACCTGTTGTGCATAGGGGTCGATAACCAACCATGCATCGATTAAAATTGTTTCTAAATCTCACGGTGCAAGTATCAAACAGCGCGTGTGTGAGAATCGACTTTCGAATTCGTGGTTGCTACTTCGTGAACAGCACTTGCCCTAGCGGTCTTTTGAAGGCTACACGTGGGCATCCATAATACAAGTGACGTCATCACATCTCTCCCTCCTCTTCTTGGTTCTTTCGGTAAAGTCACGTAGAAGGGAAATAATAAAATAATAAAAATAAAACATTATAGAAGGGAAATAATAAAATAAAAAAATAAACCATTATATTATGTTTATTTTATTTTATTATTTCCCTTCTACGTGACTTTACCGAAAGAACCAAAAAGATGAATCCCTGCAGTCACGAAAGCTTTAAATCGAAATCTCTCCCTCCATTTAAGGAACAAAACGGAAGGATTTCTCCACAAATCTGGCTGTCGCCTGATGAAGCTGGTTGTAATTACCAGCAAAACATCGTACTCAGATTGTAAATGTTGTGGCTTTGCTCTCCCAACACACCGATGTGCTGCACCAGTAACACACACACGCACGCACACACGCACGCACACACGCACACACGCACGCACACACGCACGCACACACACACACGCACACACACTTTCGCACGCACAAAGATCCCCCGTATAGCCTTAACAGACTGTAGGGGCAAGTGCTGTTAGCGAGCACCTAGGAAGGCCGGAACGGTACACGAGGGGGTGGGTGGCCAGCACCACGCCCGACCGCCTTTGTCTCCCCAGTGGCGATGTTTACAAACCGCACCAGGTACTCATTTAAGGCTGAGTCGACCTAGGGGAGGCCCAGGACCGGTTCAGATAATCGTCACTGGTGTTAGCCGTGAGCGGGAATCGAACCTGGGTCGCCAGGTTCATAGCGCAGCGCGCTAACCGCTACACCACCGCACACAGACACGCACACAGACACACACACGCACGCACGCACGCACACACACACGCACACACACACGCACACACGCACACACACACGCACACACACACGCACACACGCACGCACACGCACGCACGCACGCACGCACGCACACACGCACGCACACACGCACGCACACACACGCACGCACGCACGCACACACACACACACACGCACGCACACACACACACACACGCACACACGCACACGCACACGCACACACACACACACGCACACACACGCACGCACGCACACACACGCACACACGCACACACACACGGCAAACCGCACGTACGTAGCTCGGGCGATGTCAAATCTACCCTTCTCCTGAATATGGAACATCAAGTCTCCTCCGTTCAGGAACTCCATCACGAAGAACAGGTGCTCCTGCACACACGGCACGCAGCACACAGCGAGGTCACAGTCGTTAAGAAACCAAACTAAACTTTTTTATTTTTATATTACAAGGTAAGGGCCACCGAGCTATGCAGCTCTTTTTCAGACGCGACAGGGGCCCCCCTAAACGATAGCCCAACGAAGTGGCTTATCGCGTGGGAATGTACAGCAGCCAAATACTCTAAGCGCAGGTTGGTTGGAGGGAAAAACTGGGGAACCCAGAGAAAAATCCACGAGAACGACGGGAAGAACACGAAAAACTCCATATATACAGCAGCAGGCGTCAGGGTCGGGATCAAATCCACGACCTCCTGTATACCAGGCGAGGGAGTCAACATCTCCTAGCCACCGTGGCGGCCCACAGAACGCGTGTGTCGATCCTAGTTATATATCCCACGCGTGGGTTTTCCGCCCCGATTTCCTGCCAAGATAACTCGAAGAAAAAAACTGGCCCCGAAGTAGCTCTTGGCGAATGGAAATAATAAAATAATAAAAATAAAACATAATAAAATATTATTTTTTTATTTTATTATTTCCATTCTACGTGGCTTTACCGAAAGAACCAAGAAGATGAATCCCTGCAGTCACGAAAGCTTTAAATCGAAATTTAGCTCTTGGCGGTTCGCGCGGCTTTGACCGTGTCAGAGCGCCAGGCCCCGACCGCCGACATCCTGGGTTCATATCTGGGTTTGGGCCGCCTGCGATTCAAATCGGATTTTTTTATGGTGACCCAACTTCTAGAGAACTAAGCCACCTCAAGTTAAACCGAGGGCTGCCGCAGTGCAACGGTTAGCGCGTTCGACTTGTAATGCGGTGGCCGCTGGTGTGATCCCATCTTCCGGCGGTTTAAATTAAATCGTGGAGCAAGTTTTGTGCGCCGTGACGGCCTTCATCGGTGCCCGCTAACAGCACTCGCCAACAGTCTATATATGTAAAGATTCTTCTTCTTGGTTCTTTCGTTAAAGTCACGTAGAAGGGAAGTAATAAAATAATAAAAATACAACATAATAAAATAATTCTCACGGCGTCTGACGCTGTCGCCTCGACAGACCTGGTTTTCACCTGAGGACGGCTGCTTGCTTTGTGGCCGAAACGTCATGAGAATTATTTTATTGTTAAATTTGTATTATTGTATTACTTCCCTTCTACGTGACTTTACCGAAAGAACCAAGAAGATGAATCTCTGCAGTCACGAAAGCTTTAAATCGATATGTAAAGATTCTTTGTCTTTGTATGTGGCTGCATGTGTATAGCTGCGGCTGTATGAGGCTGCATGCGGCTGTATGTGTCCATTTGCATCCGTACGCATCTGTATTCGTGTCTGTATGTGGCAATGATACCACGTGTGTCTTGTCCATGTTTCCACGTGTCTACGTGATTTGTTTACCTTTCCTATGCTTTGCGCTCCTGTCGTGTGTTTGTACCGTTTGTTGCTGCAATGTTCTGACCCGCCCCCTTACTGGACGTCTGTGAAGAAGAGCTTCATAGCTCATCGGATTCCTCCTGCAGCATGAGTAAAGATGCTGATTCTGTGGCTACATGTGTCTATACGTGGCTGTACGTGTGCCGTGCCGGCCTTCCTTCACAGGCACTCGCCCCAACAGGGAAAGGCTACACGGGGGATCTTTTGTCTTTTGTACGCATGTACGAAGCTGAACTTCTTTCGCACCTTACGTAGCCAACCGTGCTAATGGGAGGTGCGGCTATCCGTGTCCGTGGGTGCATGTGGGTGGCCGTAGTGTGGCGTTTAGCACGCTGCGCTACGAACCCGGGGACCAGAGTTCGATTCCCGCTCACAGTCAACACCACTGACGGTCCTGGGCCTTCCCTAGGTCAACCCAGCCTCAAATGAGTATCTGGTGCGCCGTGTAAACATCGCCACCGGTGAGACAAAGGCAGCCGGGCGTGGTGCTGGCCACTCCACACCCTCGCACGCCGTGCCGGGCCTTCACACAAGTGCTACGCGCAAACAGCACTCGCCCCAACAGTCTGTTACAGGCTGTACGGGAGCAATCTTTGTCTTCGTGACGGGGTGGGGGGTGTGGGGGGGGGGGGGTGGGAGACACCTCGCACCTCGCTCTGGAAGGCGCAGAAGAGGTGCGTGAGGAAGGGGTGAGACCAGGCCAAGGAGAGGACGCGCTTCTCCACCATGGTGCACTCCACGTCGTCGTCCATCAGCACCACGGCCTTCTTGAGCGCCTTCACCGCAAAGTACTGCTGGCGGCCCTTCAGCTCTGCCAGCATCACCTGGTATGGAACGAAGGCACACCAGACCGTTGTTCGGGGGAGTGCCGTTTGGCGAGTGGACATACGTGTGTACGCGCACGTATGTACATACGTACATACATACAAAACAAAGATACAAAACAAACATACAAGCCTTTCACATGTCCATACGCACGCGAAGAGAAAGATTCCCCCGTATAGCCTCAACAGACTGTCGGGGCAAGTGCCGTGAGCGAGTAGCACTTTATGAAGGCCGGCACGGCGCACGACAGGGAGGGCGCATGGCCAGCACCCTTAGTGGCGATGTTTGCACACCGCACCAGGTACTCATTTGAGGACCTGGTGCGGCGTGTAGTCGATTTAGGGGACGGCCCACGACCGGCTCAGATAATCGTCACGGGTGTTGGTGACCGTGAGCGGGGATTGAACTCGGGTCGGCGGGTTCGTAGCGCAGTGATGTCCGCTAGCCACTGCACCACCGCTCCCCAAAAGTGGAACGTACAATGTGCAAAATGGCACATAAGCAAGCTTATGCACATTAACAGAGATGCACGCACGCACACAAATTCAAGGGTCTAATCAACCCATCATCACCACCACCACCACCACCACGCCGGTGGAATAAATCAGATACCGCCCAGTGAGGCTGTATCGATCGCTGCAGTTACGTGGCGCACCGCGGCGCATCGTCATTTGCAGCGATAGGGGCAGGGGCCTGGAGCGGCATTGTCGTGACGTGCGAGTGGCGGGGCGAGCACAGCGAGGCATCAGCGAGTGGAATGAAGCAGCGGTGCGGGGACTGGCGTGGCACGCGAGCGGTGCGGCGCGCAGCATTGGATCGCGAGCGATGTGGTGTGTAGTGTGGTGTGTGGAGTCCGGTGCGTGAATCTGCATGGCATGTTCATTGTGTGGCGGGCAGCATTGGGTTTCAACCGGGAAAGCGGAGGGGTGAATGGAGCGGTGGCGTGAAAACGGCGTGGCGAGCGAGCGGTGCGGCCGTGGCGGGCGGCATGGGGTGGCAGGAAGCAGAGGGCGCAGGAGCGGTGCGCGGGTTTCTGCGTGGAGCAGGGGGGGTGCAAATAATGAGGAAGTATAGACGCCACGGGGGTCCACACACCTTGCCGAAGCTGCCCTTGCCCAGGACCTTGAGCATCACAAAGTCGTTGAGGGTGACCCTGCGCAGATCCTTGCGGAGGCTCGCGACGCGGCTGGGCGGCACGGGGGCGCGCGGGTCGGTGTGCGAGTCCCACGCCTTCTCGTAGTGCCCGTCTACTAAACACAGGAAATGCACGCACGCATTTAGCAATGGGTTCAACCCGCGGGGGTCTTTTCCCCGCTTCCTCGCTCGCGCCGCTCACGTCAGTGCCGTCTATTCAATTCTATTTCATCCGTCCGATGTATTTCCGAGTCGCGCGTCCTTCAGGAACCCAACGGAAGCTCGCGGGGGCACGCGGAGCGAGAAAGCGTCTTGGCGCCGTGACCCAAAAACTGCGACGACGCCGACGGCGGAACCGCGACGAGCTGCGCGGTTTTATTTTTGGATGCTCGTCAATCCCCCCCCCCCGGATTTGCTCAGATTGCTCAGCGTCAGCGGAACACTGCGGTCACGTCAATTAAAAGAGAAAAAAAGGCGCCATGCGCGTGTGATGGATGAACCGTCCGGATTGCAGCGTTCTGACGATTTTCAGGAGAAAAATGACCGAACCGGCAGCGAAGGGCAGCGACACGTAGGATCTTCCTCTGAAAAAAACGCCGGGAGAAATGCATTTCCACGAAATACGCGAATCGATTGTTGGACGGGCAGAACTGGAATGTACATTGTTGTATTTGCCAGTTGATTAAACTATAGAGGGCAATTGATTAGAGTATAGAGGGCAATTGATTTGAGTACAGAGGGCATTGCTTGAATGAAAACTGTAATCAACGGGACTCAATGAACAAGTGAGTTAGCGGGCACAGCAGGGTCAAGCGCTGGCTGGGAAAAGTAATTTGAGAGTTTAAGCGCAAAGACACCGAGAAAGTTGCAATCATCTCATCCCATCTGCCACGCCACGCAGATCGGAAAACGCGGCCTCGAAGAAAGGACGCACGGCACCACAGTTGATAAAAAAAAAGCGTGGCGGAATTACACTGAGAATCCGAACGAGGAAAGCGCACGGAATCAGAGAACAAAAGAAAAAACTTTTTTTTTTAACTAAACTATTTTTAGTGTTACCAGGTAAGGCCCACTTGAGCTGTCAAGCTCTTTTTCGGAAGTGACCCCGGCTATCATCACGAACAATAGCTCAACGAAGTAGCTTCATCACGTGAACATTTATAGCGGCCAAAAAAAACTCTGATCGCATATCGATTCTAAATGTGGGGGGAGGAAAAAAACGGAGGACCCGGAGAAAAACCCACGCGACCACGGCGAGAGAGAGAGAGAGAGTGAGACACACAAACCTCCTGCACACACAAGCGTGGTAGCCAACCAGAGACTTCGTATAGACTCATCTTCTTGGTTCTTTCGGTAAAGTCACGTAGAATGGAAATAATAAAATAATAAAATAAAACATTATAAAATAATTCTCACGACGTTTCGGCCACAACGCAAGCAGCCGTCCTCAGGTGAAGAAATTCGTATAGACTGTCGTTGATCAACGGTTAAACGGGCATGGCCAGGGGGACCAATTGCTGGTGGAGATAGTGGCCGACGCACGAGACTGGCGAAAGGGAATTGGCAGCCAGAAGCTTTCAGGGCGCCCGCACAGCGACGAGGTCGTCTCACGCGGGCAAGGAGGGAGACGGATCGTGGCATCACGCAACGGCCAGGGATGGTGAACATCAACACGGGGGGGCTCTATCGTACAGATGTGGACGGAACCTGACTGACGATAATGATGATAGATGATAATAACGATGCTGATGATGATGATACTTCTGTTGCTGATAATGATATCCCTCCTACGTGTTAAAATGCTGCTGATGATAATACCCGTTGCTGCTGCTGCTGTTGTTGACAACAATGATATATCTGTTGCTGCTTCTGCTGATGATGATGGATGATGATGCTATGTTGCTGCTGCTGATTATCATAATTATCATAGTTGGCTAAACACGGTGCGCAAAAGCAGTTCAACATATGTACGTAACGACAGAGGTACTCTGCTCAAAGATCCAATGGGAGACTCTGCCCCCCCCACACTCACCCGCACTGAGGCGTTTGGTTTCCGTGCCCTGGTAAATATCCACGGTGGGATCCCGGGCCGTCTTCTCTCTGTCCCTTTGGGATCGGACCTTTGGGAAAGAGTGGAGATTCAGTTTCAAGTTAATCACAACGATAATTCAGATTTATAATGCGCATTCTTCCATCCTAGGATCCCAATTTACTTTGTTGAACCGGCTGAGAACTCAGAGACGGGAACGAGCCTCAGTTGCCGGTAGGGGTGACACTTGCCACATGTCGTGCCAATGGCGTAAGTTGCGGTGTACAATTTGTATCGAATTTTCGTAAATTTTTGAGCCCGATGCTGGCACACAATTAGCCTACTGTCGCAAACAACCTCAAGGGGGCCGTGAACGTCCACTCCGAGCGAAGAGCGGTGCCGAGTATCAACACGGGCTACGACACCCGCAGCGTTAACGAGGGCGGCCCCCGTGTGACGATTCGAAACCGCGAGGCTTCTGCGACGAGGGCGCGTTAGGGGGAGCTGGCAGTGGGAACAAAAAACTTCCACGTCTTACAAGACGCCTGGCCGTCGTGGAAGGGTACGGCCAATATACCCTCTCCCTCAGAGCGCCCTGTAGCGGGAGGACTTTCCGCCAATGGTGGCGCGAGGGAAATATTTCAGGGTGGCACCTTTTACATTTGACAACCGCGGAACCCGGCGACCTGCAAAAATCGCCCCGTGTCACCCCGGCGTGTCTCGTTATTTGATTTTGTTCATCCTCGTAGGAGCGACTCAAACAAAGTCGCCCCGATCTCGTAACGTCGCAGAATCTAAGCAGGCTTGAGCCTGGATAATGCTTAGATGGGTGACCACCACCGCACGTAGAATAGGTGCTGTAGGCTGCTGGAGACATACGTTGTCAGCAGAGGGTATTGCAAGACAAAAAAAATTGCTGGACTCTCCTATTCTCCTTCGTCTATTGCTCCCCGCCTTCATCAACCAGTACTGACCAGTCCGGCGAAGTGTGGTCGAATAGCTGCCATAACACGTACGGTGTGGGGAAAGCCTCATCCAGCAGTGGTTTGACAAAAGGGCCAAAACATGTGGGTACATATATGCGAACATACATAATCTTTCATATGTCCATACATACACAAAGACAAAGATTCCCCGTATAGCCTTAACAGACTGTTGGGGCAAGTGCTATTAGCAAGCACCTATGAAGGCTGGCACAGTACACTAGGGGGTGGGTGGGTGGCCAGCACCATGCATTTGTCTCCCTAGTGGCGATGTTTACACATCGCACCAGGTACTCATTTGAGGCCCAGTCAACCTAGGGAAGGCCCAGGACCGGTTCAGATAATAGTCACCGGGTTCGTAGCGCAACGTGCTAACCACTACACTCCCCGCTCCCCGATACATATTCACAACACGTGTGTCCGTTCACACGTATACACATTTGCATACGCGAACACACACACATACATTACCAAAATATTTACCGAATGAGCGCTCTCAATCTGAGCCAACGCTTCAGCCATGAGCTTCTGGTTGATGCCACACAGGTTGGCCACCTTCTTCTGACACTTGTGGTGAACATTCATGGAGCACTCTGCGGAGCACAGAGACGCAGCGACGTTTACACAGGGGCGCCGTGGCCACGACGCAGGCAACAGAAGACAAAGATACCCCGTGTAGCCTTAACAGACTGTTGGGGCAAGTGCTGTTAGAGAGGGCCTATGAAGGCCGGCACAGCACACGAGGGGGTGGGTGGTCAGCGCCACGCCCGGCCGCCTTTTATTTCCCGAGTGGTGATGTTTACACGCCGCAGCAGGAACTCGATTGAGGCCGAGTCGACCTAGGGGAGGCCCAGCACCGGTTCAGATTATCGTCGCTGGTGTTGGACGTGAACAGGAATCGAACCTGGGTCGCCGGGTTTGTAGCGCAGCGCGCTAACCGCGACACTACCGCTGCCCACGACGCAGGCAGCACACACACACATCTAAACCAATCCCTTTCCTCCCCACTGATCGTGGCCCCCTCTCGTCAGAGCTCATAAGCCAAGCAAAGGGTTGATAGAACCTGACGGTTCTCACGCTTGGATGGCAGAATGCCCGGCAATAACAAGGAGCTGTAGTAGGCCCAGGCTGTAAAGTGCCCAGTAGATGGCAGTACAACATCGCTTGCAGTGGCTAGGAGATGTTAACTACCTTGCCTGGTATACAGGAGGTCGTGGGTTCGATTCCGACCCTAACGCCTGTATATATGGATTTTGCGTGTCTCTATCTCTCTATCTCTCTCTCCCGGTGCTCGCTTGGATTTTTCTCTTGGTCCTCCGCGTTTTCCCCTCCACATTGAGAAACATGCATTTAAGAGTATTTGGCTGCGATACATTTTTACACGTGATAAGCCACTTCGTTGAGCAATCATCTGTGGCCAGGTCGCTTCTGAAAAAGAGCTATACAGCTCAGTGGGCCTTACCTGGTAAAATAAAAACAAAAAAGATTTAACTACACATTTTTGGACCATCTTATTTGACTGGTACTATTCTACTTTACCGAGTGTTGACATCCCCAGCATTTAACAGCACTCTCCTTTTTTGTATTTGGAGTAGAACAGCATGTGCATTGTCGTTCTCTTCTAGCACCATGTGCACCTTTAGCATGTGACCTGTTGTTCTCTTTTAGCCCCGCCCCCCCCCCAATACATTCCATTCATTGGCTACCACACTCAGATAAGCTCCTCCCCCCCTCCTCCCCCCCTCCTCCCCCCCTTAACTTGTATTTAAGAACTTGTATCTTGAAATTTTTTGCCTCACTTGATACAGTAAATCTAGCTGTGACGGTCCCACCTGATGACGGAGACTTGTGTTGCCTCCGAAACGTCGTGATTTATTATTTTATTTTATTTCTATTATTACTTTTATTAATTTTAATTATTTTTTTACCTAGGTGACTTTACCGAAAAAACCTAAGAGTATAAAAATAAAAACAGTTTTGTTTGAAATAGTTTAGGTATTTAAAATACAGAACTGCTCTTATCTGCGGTCATATTACGGGCAACCGCGATTACCCGTGGTAGCTGTAGGGTCCACCAAAACTCGGCGGTTTTATTTAGTCTGACGATCCATGGCTATCCACGACTTCACCCACAATGCACAGCAAGAGGTCTTCCTCACACATCCCGCGGATAAGAGCAGTCACCCCCGTGAACAAGAGGCGTAAACTCGTGGATAACGCCACGGGTAATAGGGTGCACGATATCCGACCCCATAGCAAAGCGGATGAGAGGAGTTCTCCTGCGTATCCTAGTCAGTTTACGTACGAGTGCTACGATCACAATGAAACTATGATGATGATGGTGATTCTTGAACAAAATTTTACACTGATGTTTTTTTAAAGTAATTTGTCCAAGATAACTTTTTCTTTTTGGGAATTTATTATTGCTTACGTGCGTGCACTATTCCCTATTTCTTCTATCACGGAGTTGTTTTTGCTCCAATTTCTGCTTGGTTCATTGCTGTGCTTTAGTTTCATTTGTTCTGACGGCCTCACTTCGGTGACACAGGGTGCCGCCGCACTTGCAGATGAGACCCCTATCCTGGTATCTCGAGTTCTCGCCCTGGTTAGACAAAATAAAACTTGAAACGGCAATGAATTCACGAATTTTTCCGAGATGTGAGAAGTCTGGGTGCTGAAGATTTCCTCCCAGAAGCTGAACATCCCATAAGCAGGACCCTCGTGAACGAATTTTGAGACTCGGTGAGGCTTTTGCCCGAGAGATTAAGGGGCATTATATTGTTGTAATGTAATGAGAACGAATGTTTAAGGGGCATTTATACATTTAAATAATCATTATTGGAGCGGACCAAGTTGCACAGCGATTAGCGCACTGCCGCTCTCAAAACAGCGACCATCCCGTTCCTGGCTAACATCAGTGGCGAGTGATTTTATGAACCAATCGTTCCCCACCCCCGCACTGACCAGCGTGGTGAAGTATGGTCAAACAACCTCCATCACTGACATGGCGTGCGATGCGCAATGATGGGCTCTAAATTCATTAAAATATTTCATTTCATTATTTCACTGGGCTTTAAGAGGTTTTGCATCCTAAGCCATTACTCGCGAATAAAACAACAACATATTCACATGGTAATGATGCAATATGAATGCAAGGTTGTCTATATGCATTGACCAAAGTTGCCTGGCTGTAATGGGAGATCATTGTGTCCATTCATGTCCTTCCGACTGTGAGTCGTGGAGGCAAGCGCTCCGTATCGATCTCGGCAGCGCAAAGCGAAAAAGTCACAATGGGAGGTAGGGGGGCGGCCGCCGTGAGGGAGCCCTAGCCAGTCCCCGTGTCCCACTTCACGTTCGTCTGCCGGGGTCACGTCAGAGGTCGCAAAAGGGTTTTGATTCCTTACCCGTACCCGGCCGCACCAAGGTCGCAAACGGGTACCCGTACCCGGCCGTACCCGTACCCTACCCGTACCCGGTCGGGTACGGCCGGGTACGGGTAGGGTACGGGTACCTGATTGCGACCTCTGGGATGAAGCCATGTTGCAGGCGCGGGTGGGTTGATTCTAGGAACTTGAATTGTGAGAAGAGACAAGACGTTGGGAAATGAGTGACAAACAGTTACTCACCAGTGACTCACGGCCTACCCGTACCCGGCCGCACCAGGGTTCGCAAACGGGTACCCGTACCCGTACCCATCCAGGTATCGGGTAGGGTACGGGTATTGGATACCCGGTTGCGACCTCTGGGTCACGTCTAGAGGGCACCGAGACCGTGACTCTCTGGGTGCTTGGGTACTTAACACCCCCACCACCCACCCCACCGCTACGCCTTTGCTATAAATAAAATAAAAACGCGGATAATTTATCTCATGGCTCCGAGTTAAATTCCCCCGGGAGAGGAATAAATTGATCTCATGGCCCTCGTGTGACCGGTTTGACTCTGAGCCCAGGCGACTAAAAGTCATGACTGCACTGCGCTCCGATCAGTCTAAAAGTGGTCTGCACAAGCGGACTTGCGCCACGGCCAATTCGTTTTTCGACATCGATTTGTATTTTCGTGATGTTTTCAACTCCTCTCTCTCTTCTTCTTGGTTCTTTCGGTAAAGTCACGTAGAAGGGAAATAATAAAATAATAAAAATAAAACATAATAAAATCATTCTCACGACGTTTCGGCCACAACGCAAGCAGCCGTCCTTAGGTGAAGACCAGGTCTGTCTGGGAGACAGAGTCTGAATTCATTCAGACGTTGTGGCCGAAAGGTCGTGAGAATTATTTTATTATGTTTTATTTTTATTATTTTATTATTTCCCTTCTACGTGACTTTACCGAAAGAACCAAGAAGATGAATCCCTGCAGTCACGAAAGCTTTAAATCGAAATCCTCTCTCTCTCTCACGTGATACAGTCGTTTCTTTTGTTTTTTGCCTTAATATCCAGAAGAGATTTTGTTTGGGTTAGATCGCGTAAATATAAAAGTGTCGTTAAACCCGCCACCGCCAATTGGTAAGGTTTGTCACGTAAACAAAACGTGCTAATTAGTTACTTAGTTCAGCACTCCGGTTGTGTGTTGTGAGAGTAAACCCACAACAACATTGGCAATTCGGGTACGGTGACGTTTCGCCGGTAATTACAACAACAACCACCAGCCTCATCAGGCGACAGCCGGAGTCGTTGAGAAATCCTCCTCCTGCATCGTTCTTAAACAGAGCGCGGTAAACGTGATGTCATCACTTGTGGACCAATCAGGTGCGAAAGACTCCGTCGCTATATTTTATTTTACGATTTAAAGCTTTCGTGACTTGCAGGGATTTATCTTCTTGGTTCTTTCGGTAAAGTCACGTAGAAGGGAAATAATAAAGTAAGAAAAAATTTTATTTTATTATTTCTATTTTAAAATAATACAAATAATTATTTTATCATGTTTTATTTTTATTATTTTATTATTTCCCTTCTACGTAACTTTACCGAAAGAACCAAGAAAATGAATCTTTTATTTTATTTTTGTAATTTGAGCGAACCAGGTCAGTCACTCTTGCATGCGAGAGTGACTGACCTGGCGCGAGCAGGCATTTGCTGGGCCGCCCCTTCACGTCTCTTTACGTACATATCTGGAATGTTGTGGGGGGGTGGAGTGGAAAGGAGGGGGACATCGCTCGCGAGGAATGACTAAATCTTCTTGAGAAGGGAAGGGAGGTCGACACGTGGATGGTTTGGGCAAGCACAGAAGGCCCTTTTCTCAACACTGCCAGCGGCACGAAAGAGGACTGAACTTCGATTTAAAGCTTTCGTGACTGCAGGGATTCATCTTCTTGGTTCTTTCGGTAAAGTCACGTAGAATGGAAATAATAAAATAATAAAAATTTAAATAAAACAATTAAAAATAAAACAATTATTATGTTTTATTTTTATTTTTTTTATTATTTCCATTCTACGTGACTTTACCGAAAGAACCAAAAAGAGGACTGAACCTTAACACCCTTGCGCGCTTTCAGGTGAGTGCCACCCAGCTACGATGGGACCCCTTCGTCGAACGAGCGCGCGGACCCCGGGGGACCCCAGAGGCCGTCTGACCTGCGCACTGCAGGCCCTGCCGGACGAGTCCCCACAGCAGCGTCCCGCAGTGGTCGCAGAACGTGGGGCTCATGTAGTTCTTCACATCGAAGCGGTGCGGCATGTCGATCTTGAACCGCTCCTTGTGGAACTGCGGGAGGCCACGGGGAAGAATCGGTTACCGCGGACGGAGCTGGTTCTGGGGCACGCCTCGCACGAGCGCAGTTCTGGTGCCAAGCAGCGCAACGCTTTCATCATCGCACTGCTCGGGGCAGAAGGCGAGGGGAAGCTGTCGATACGAGCGCACTGCTGCGGATGTAAGCGCACCTGACCCCCCCCCCTTGTTCCATACGGGACTTTGTGACACTTGACAACCTGGATTAAGCAGGATTCCAAACAGGATCTCAGCTGCGCCAGTTTGGTGCTCCGACCTCCGCGGCGCCCGGCCACCCAATTTATTTCTCATTCTTAAGATAAAAAGATTTCAAGCATTTTCAATATTTGAACGCAACATTAGAGTGATTTTTTTTTACTTTAAACGTGTTTATTTCATGATATGTACTATTTTTTTTACCAGGCAAGGCCCACTGAGCTACGTAGCTCTTTTTCAGAAGCGACTTGGCCACAAATGATAGCTCAACGAAGTGGCTTATCACGTGGAAATGTACAGCAGCCATATACTCTAAACGCATGTTGATTCTAAATGTAGAGGGAAAAACTGGAGGGCCCGTAAAAAAATCCACGCCACCACAGGGAGAACATACAAACTCCAAATTTCCAGCAGGCATCAGGGTCGGGATCGAACCCACGACCTCCTGTATACCAAGCGAGGTAGTTAACATCTCGCCGCACACAGAGTCTAAACGTCTATCTGATTTCCTGCTCAAACGAGCATCAAGTTGTTGCGCGTGTCCCGTTCACAGCCATGCAGAGCCAAGGGTTGAAATTCCAAATTCCCATGACGAGGCAAGTCAATCCCAGGAACTACCACTGTTGATTTCCCTCACAAAGTGGTACTTATTTTATGGACCCCCGTGAGAATGATTGACCGAGTCAACCGCCCAACCAGGATTTTAACTCACGGACCTTCCGATGGCGAGCCGCTCGCCCTACCGCTGAGGACACCTGGCCGGATATTTTTTGTTGTTGCAAAGCTGGTTTCAAATGAGCAACCCGCCAATTTCGATGGCGAGAAATTACCCGAAACAGCGCAGCACGATAATCATAGTTGCCGATCGGGCCGAGAACACCATCTTGTCACACCTGGGAGCCCAGGTTTAATTACACAGGTGGCTGAACGCTGGGCTCAAAGCCAAGGATTCTCACGGCAACTGCCGGCTGAGAGCCACGGGAGCTCCCAGCCACCTGAGCCCACCTCTCGAAAAATAACCGGCACTCAAACGAAACGCTCAAGGAGTTCTGAGCAACATGCCTCGCAGCTCGCGAGCAAAACGCCACGCTCATTACCGCGGAGTAAATTGGCGGCAACGGCACACGTAAGGAACAGCGAGCTATTAAAATGAGAGAGACGGGTCCGTCCAAATATGGTCGGTGCGAGCGTGAGGCTGCTACAAACGGCAGGCAAAACCGGCGGTGGCTCCCAACCCTTTCTGGACCTGCGGACCAAAACCTCGGCATTGTTCGGTGGACAACCATGCAGTATAAAAAAAAATTTAAACGATGGTGTTGCGGGCCACCAGTAATCGGCGGAACCACAAGTTTGGAACCACCGGGGTTCAAGTCAAAACAAAGTGACGACATCCATTATGAAGGGTCGTGCCACGTATACGTGCGCACAAAGGAAAAGCGCGTGCGAACGCATAACACGTACCAGCGTGTCGCGGCTGTTCTTGGCCGAGCCGGTGCACTTTGCGATGACAAGGTCGATGCACTTTTTGTGAATGACGGCATTGCACTCTGCACACAAAGATAACAAAAACACAACGGACTGTCTTAACAGACGCATCAAATCGTGACCAGCGTAACTTTCAAGGGGTGCCAATGTCGTCAAAGTTGAGGGTGAGCCTGCCCCTGCCCTAAGAAACGTGGAAATCCCGGCAATGGCTCAAGATCTTCAATAAAGCTGAAGATGTCTCAACACTCACATATTTAGGGGAATGCCCTGAGACTTGTGTAAAATATCTGTGGTGATAATAATGACAATGTATTCAAGAATCATCATTGACAGCCCCTTTTCGAATTGGCCACGTGGGTTGCTTGAACATACTTCACCGAGCTGGTCTGTCAGACTCGCCGCTCACATGAGCCGTGGCTGGGAATCGGAACACAGGTTGTATACGTATGTTGAACTTCTATGCACAAAAAGCAGTTTAAAATAAATTCGTTTTCAATATAGATGATTTAAAAGTGCATAATTCCGGTGACTTCCTAACATCGGAAGGAAGAGCGTTCCAGACGGCCGCAGAAGCACATCTGAAAGCTCGCGGGGGTCCATAAAATAAGTACTTTGTTCGATGATTAGCCAAAAGCTGTTGCGAACATGACCGGAGTTCATAGTGCAGCGCGCTAGCAGCAGCACTGCCGCTCAACTCCTCATGACAACAACTTAAAGACAGCGACTAATTGTGGATTACAGCTACTTACGTCGACACTGGTAGCCTTGTTTGTTGAGTCCCCTACGCAACACAACAACAAACAACAACAAACACAAGAGGTTAATTGTGTAAAAAAAAATTTCAAAACTTTCGTGACTGCAGGAATTCATATTCTTTGGTTCTTTCGGTAAAGTCAAGTAGATAGAAGATAATAAAATAAAAATAATAAAATAAAAATTTATCAAAACCTAAAACTCACGATGTTTCAATCGCAACACAAGCGGTCGTCATCAGGCGGAGAGATGTAAACGTCGTGAGTTTTTTAAAATGTGTTTTATTATTTTCTCTCTACGTGACTTTACCGAAAGAACCAAAGAATACGTTCATTGTGTGTTTCGCGGACCCACATAAGTGGCATAACGAGGTTGGAATGGTCACTGGTGATTGAAGAAAAAAAGGTGGTTAGGCGTGGATGGTGCTCGTCCCTATCACTCATTCATGAGCAATGCATCTTGCAAATCGGTGCTTGCAAACAATATCTAATCCAAGACATTATAAGCTGCAGACACGTGTCATAGATTTCCTGCAACGTTCGTGAAAGAGCTTCACATGGCTCATCGTATTCCTCCGGTCTAAGCAGAGATTCTGATAATAGATTCCGTCTCTGTTGCTGTTGTACGTGGGTCTGCGACTCTGAGGAACCAATTTGTTGTTCTCACATGCAACAGTTGCTGCGATTGGTTGGATGAGGTCACATGGGTGTTCGTAACAACACAAAAGTACAAAAACATTGTGAAATGCTCTGGTAGTATCTGCATTGGCGTCCTCTGGTCTAACACTGTTTGATGCTAGGCTCTAAAGAAAGCCGGCTCTGGTGTGGACCAATCAGTTTCAAAGACAATGCATCATGTACAACCAGAGCATGTTTTTGTTGTGTTTGCATGTTTACCAAATGTATGTGGTTAATGCAAACATGACTCCTTGCAAAAGGTTTCAGTTGGGTGTTTTAACATCTTAACACAACTGTGCTATTGCCAGAAAGGGTAAAACCTATTCTTATATTTTGATACTGCCAAAGGATGTCCCATGACAAACACACACACATTCCCAAACACACACACAGATATACGTCACGTCCACGCGTCCAGGAATCCCCGTGCCTAGCCCTTAGCCATCACCACTATTCCTTCTCGCTTAATATAGCCCTGGACGTCTGTACGTTACGCACGCACGCACGCGGGAGAATGATGCGCGCGTGTGCGTAAATTAGCCTTTTAACATCGATCCGGGGGGGGGAGGGGGGTGGGATCGTACGCACCACACAAAGTCGCGACACACGGAGCAGAACGTCGGCTGCCGAAAGAACGTGGCCACGAACTCGTGGCCCTTGACCTCGTGCACCTTGGGCAGCTTGAAGGCCCCGCGCCTCTTGTTCAGTGTCGCCAACTCGGCCATGGGGGACATCAGGTCTGCGGGAGGAAGGCGGTGGGGGGGGGGGGGTCAAGGGTTCGTGAACGACACGAGAGAGTGGGATTGGGGGGGGGGGTAAGACACTCCACGAGCGAGGACATCGCACGACCCCCTGTCGTGTACGGACGTGCCGCCGTACTTTCGTCCGACTTGATCGGCCGGGTGTTTTGTCGGTCCCACTGGATTGATGGATGAAAGGCCAGGTGCCGTGTCCGTCACTTCTTCCTTCGTGCCGTCGCGAGTACGACAGGTTCGCTCAAACGTCGGCTCGCTGGATGTCGCCGCCGCCGCCGCTGCCTGCACGTACGTTGAACTTCTTTCGCAACGCACGTAGCCAACCGTGCCAATCGGAAGTGCGCGGGAAGGACAAGCGAGTTTCTAATCGCATAGCTCCAGTGGCTTCCTAATATCCGGAAAGAAGAGCGCTCCAGACGGCCGCATCCGAATGTGCACGATGCATCGACCACCGTCTTTGTTGGACAGCCAGCCAAAAAGCCGCTGCCGCCGCGAAGCTGACCGAAGTTCGCCTGACGGTTGACGCTCCTCCACGAGATCGCAACGGTACCGCGGTTAATTTGTGGCTAGCACTTGGCGTGTCAGGAGTGCGACCTTTCGAACGCATTCACACGCGCGGCCGGACGCAAAGGTACTCGTCGACCCTGCGATTCTAATGGCGATGACGACGGGGCCACGTGACAGCGTGCACGTTGGCACGTGCATGTGAATCCCTAACTGGATACAGGGACTATCTCCTCCCCCCTCCACCCCGGGCACTGTGTTAAGTCGTAGGGGTTGTTTGACTCGTAAAGTGTACAGGCACTTAAGTGCACGCTTATTGGCGAGTACGAAACTGCACTCGCAAAGAAGCATGCGCATACCAGGCAGGTAACAATTCTACCTGCCCCAGTGTCACGGTGGCAAGATGTTAACTACCTCGCCTGGTAAACAGGAGGTCGGTGGGTTCAACACCGACACCAACGCCTGCTCTATATTTAGAGTTTGCGTGTTTTCCCCGTGGTCGCATGAATTTTTCTCAGTGTCCTTTAGTTTTTCCCTCCAATGTGTATTTAAGGTATTTGGCCCCCTATACATTTCCACGTGATAAGCCACTTCTTTGAGCTATAATTTGTGGCCAGGTCACTTATTGAAAAAAAGCTATCTAGCTCACTGGGCCTTATCTGGTAACATAAAAAAAGTTTATAGTTTTATAGATTTCTTTAATGAAATGTCAGAATTTGGCATCACCATTCAATTCTGGCAACTGATTTTTTTTCTTCTCTTTGATACAATTGCAATTCAAACCAACAGGTTGTCAGGATATGTCTCAGTAGGTTCGTGCTGTAATGTTGCTCAACATTACAGAACGGTGGCGGGTTTAACGACACATTTTATTGCCGCGATCCAACCCAAATAAACCTGTATTAGGGATTAAAACGACATCTCCCCGAGTCACCAAATAAGACAAACAGGGTTTTCCAGTTCGCCAACAGCGGGTGTGTTCAGAACGGGTTCGGGCAAATAGTTGAGCACGTTGCATTATTCATTCAAACTGCATCAGTCACGCCCCGAACTGTAGAGGATTGCTAATGCGGGTTGCCTCTGCGTCTCTTTGTATGTATATAACAACAACAGCTGCCATTCAGCACGAAGTGGCGGTGACATCACCATGGCGCCGACGCCTGTGCCAGGCCAGGTGCACTTTGAGGCCACGTGAAGTGTCAAAGGATTGCCGACAGGTTACGGGACAGACCCAGGTGCCATGGGTTGACTGACTGAGATGACTGGCAGATGTACCAGCTGTGCCCCCTACTATGCAACTTGCTGCATTTTATCCACCCGGCACTACTCGTTTGTGTTGTGAGCAGTCACTCCTCTGCCCTCCACTGTTTTTGTTGGAGGGCAACAGCCTCCAACTGGCCAGACGCATTCTTCACGAGCCTCCTCCATAGAGGCTAATCTTGACACTGCTGGTACCAGTCTTTGGCAAGTCCACTCAGCTTCACATCATCCTGTACCGAATCAGTCCATCTCTTCTCCAGCCCGTGTTGTTCCCGTTTAGCCCCCTCGATCTGGTCAAACAAAAGCTGCTTGGGCATGAGGTGGCTGGTCATGTGGGCTACATGCAGCTTTACCTGCAAGAGGAGCTCACAGATGGACATATGTCCAGATCTTTCAAGAATTTGTAAACCCCTCCCAAAATCGAGCCGAGATGGGTCGTAGGCAGGCTAGCCTGAACGTTTCTAACCGGCGCAGATGTTCCATGAGAGAGGTCCACGTTTCAGAAGCATAGAGAAGAAAGGGCATGACTGTGGCCGAGAATATCCGAAGCTTCGTGTGGAGCGACAGACCAGGTAGCTTCCACACAAAATGACACAACCGATGAAAAGATAATGCCGCCCGACTGATTCGGAGACCTCTGCTGTAAAACCGGAGCAGGTCATAAGCACACTGCCTAGGTATTGAACACTCTCCACAACTGCTCCATCACCAATGGGGAGTTGAGGGGGTGGAATGTTTAATGGCTCAAAATATCCAGGCAGGTGCTTCGTTTTAGTGCGGCTAATGGTAAGACCCCACCTCTTAGTGGCATACTCCAAGCTCATTAGCAGCGCCTTCAACTCCTCCTTTGAGTGAGCAGCAATCACCAGATCATCGGCATACATAAAATGGCGATGTGTTTACACAACGCACCAAGGGGAGGCCCAGGACTGGTTCAAATAATCGTCACCAATGTTGGCCGTGAGCGGGAATGGAACTCGTGTCGCCAGGTTCGTAGCGCAGCTACGTACCCAAACCCACCCACCCCCCCACCAGTCTTAGAACCGCGCAACCAACCGCACGGGCCGCCTGCTGTGTCTGCCCACGTGCCCCCCCCCCATTCCTCTCCCGTTGTCCGTTTGTCCGTCCACCAATGGTTTTCAGCGTTAGCGCGACTCAAAGTCGCCCCCCCACCCCCCCCACAGAAACCCACACCGCGAGCCCCCACCCGGCACTCTTGAAGAGCCGCGCCGCGCCGACTCCAGGCGCTTTGCTCGTGCAGGTGCACACGCTCGCCGCAATCATGGCGTGCGGCCCCCCCCCCCCCCCCTTGCACTGAAAGAGCGCTGATTTGAAGGCAATTGGAAATTGATTATAATTAGCGGCGGTGATCCGCATGCGAGCTTGAATGCTCAGGGGCAGGGGGGCGCGGCTGCCATCTCCGACGTGCGCACGCGGCCGCGTAGGTAGCGACGTTCTCGCGGCAACTATTGAGCAAAGTTTCTTCCCCCCTCCCTCTCTACGCACTTCAGAAGCCCTTGCTGCGTTCGTTCCTCGGTTCGTTTCTCAGTCCGCTTGTCCCGGTGAGAGTCGCGACGTCGGCGTGTTGATTAGTGGCGGTCCAGACCTCCCTTTCCCTGGCGACAGACACCAGCACGACTACACTACACTATACACTACACACTACACTACACTATACACTATACACTACACACTACACTATACACTTACTCTCGCTCTTCCTTGGGAATTCCCAGGCGTTCCCAGGCTAGATTTTTTACCTACGTGACTTTACCGAAAAAAACCTAAGAATATGAATCCTTGCAGTCACGAAAGCTTCACATCTAGAGTTCCCAGGCTAGCCGAGCGACACAGTCCCGCCAGCGTGTCTTGGGCCGTGCCCCGGGGTGTTCGCCCAGTGCTACGTCACCATTCGTAACATCGAGTTCCAGCCCCTTGCTCGGCAGGTCACTGGGGTCATGGAGCCGGTGCACAGTGCTAACGAGCGCCCATCCCTGGGGAGGGGGTGGTTCCAGTGCCTGGCCTGCGAGAGATCCGAATGAATTGCTCCGTGTCGCCGCAACACTTAGAGCAGCCCAACGTGTCATCGCAGCACTTACAGCGGGCCAAATGAGGGATTGCAATCAGAGGAAAAGATACCGAAAAAAAAATATTTTGCACGAAAGATTTCTGCTCCAACTCGAGCCCGCCGCGAGTTGACCGTGTGAACGAGCGTGACCCCCGCACGGCAGCACGGACACCCACCCCAGTGGCCAGGCAGTGGGTGGATGGGTAGGGGGGGGTACTCATACTCTTGGGTTTTTTTCGGTAAAGTTACGTAGGGAAAAATAAATAAATAATATGTATCGCGACGTTTCGGAGACAACACAAGTCTCCGTCATCAGGTGGGACCCTCACAGCTAGATTTGCTGTAGCAAGTGAGGAAATTCCTCCCCGTAGAGTGTATTAATTCTAGATTTGAAGCGTTCGTAACTGCAATGATTCATATTCTTAGGTTTTTTCGGTAAAGTCACGTAGGGGGAAAATAAATAAATAATAAATTCCTGTGACTGTCCCACCTGATGACGGAGACTTGTGTTGCCTCCGAAACGTCGTGATATATATTATTATTTATTTATTTTTCGGTTTAAAGCTTTCGTGTTTGCAGGGATTCCTCTTCTTGGTTCTTTCGGTAAAGTCACATAGAATGGAAATAATAAAATAATAAAAAATACAACATTATTAAATAATTCTCCGTGAGAATTATTTATACGTGACTCAGCGAGAATTATTTCTACGTGACTTTACCGAAAGAACCAAGAAGATGATATTTATTTTCCCCCTACGTGACTTTCGCGAAAAAACCTAAGAGTATGAATTCTTGCAGTCACGAAAGCTTCAAATCTAAAATTAATGGGTAGGGGGGGGGGGGGTGCCAACGCCGCCCCGCTCTGGCTCCCCTCCCGCTCGTGCGCCCTGTGGGACGCGGTGACCTAGCCCGAGCGGCGCTATTGCCGTTCCACCCTGCCGAGTCAGTCAAGAGGCCAATGAGAAAAAGCAGAAAAACGCCCAAAGCGCACTCGACGAGGTAACGAGCGCAATCCGTGGCCGGGAGCGGCAAATTCACTCGGCTTAAGAGGGCGGCGTCAGCCGGCACTGCAGAGACATTAACCCCCTCGGGCCTGCTAAGCCGGAGGTCGCTGGGTTCGATCCCGGACCCTGGTGACGCCTGTTGTTTGAGCATATTTGGAGTCTGCGTATTTTCTCTCTCTCCCCGCGGTGGTAGTGTGGGTTATTATCCGGGTTCCTCCGGTTTTGTCGCCCACACATCCCCACCGCCCCCCCCCCTCCACATTTAGAAACAACGCCGCGCTTAAGATTATTTGGACGCCGATATAAATTCCCCACGTGTGATGACATAAGCCGCTTTGACGAGCCATTGTCACGTGTGGCCAGGTTCGAGGGTCGACGGCCGCCCCGGTAAATTTTCCGCGGCCGTGAAGTAACGTAAAAAAAAACACGCCGTCTGCTGCGCAGTGGGGGTGTGAAGGATTCCGTGCCGTGTTTTCCGAAACGAGCATTGCCAAGTGCTGCCCGAGACCACGGTCCCCGAAATTTGACAAATTGGAAAATAATTACTTCGCAAATTCACTTCATTTGGTGCAAACTCCTGCAGCCAGGCTGCGAAACGGCGCCTTCATCATCGCCTTCGCGCGAGAAGAGCAGCGCCAACACCCATTTCACTTGATTGACGGGAGTGGGGAGGAGAGAGAGTGCAAGCGAGAGAACAGCTCCTGCCACTTAAATTGCTCTCTCTCTCTCCGCGGTAATCGTTTCGCCAGAGCCGCAGGTGCGAGCGATTTGACCGCGGGAACACTCGAGCGATTCCAGCGGAGCGACCGCTCGCCGAGAGCGCGCGGCCTCCACTTCACAGCAGAGGTCGCAAACGGGTTTTCATTCCTTACCCGTACCCGGCCGCACCAGGGTCGCAAACGGGTACCCGTACCCGTACCCGGCCGTACCCGTACCCTACCCGGACGGGTACGGGTAGGGTACGGGTATCGGGTACCTGATTGCGACCTCTGGGATGAAGCCATGTTGCAGGCGCGGGTGGGTTGATTCTAGGAACTTGAATTGTGAGAAGAGACAAGACGTTGGGAAATGAGTAAAAAACAGTGACTCACCAGTGACTCACGGTCTACCCATACCCGTACCCGACCGCACCAGGGTCGCAAACGGGTACCCGGCCGAGTACGGGTAGCCGGGTATCAGGTAGGGTACGGGTATCGGGTACCCCGTTGCGGCCTCCACTTCGCACGGCCCCCGCCGCCACACGAGAGCGAGCATGGCGACACGGCACTCACCCATCACCGCCGCACCCATCGGGCACTGGAGGGGGGAATGCGCCCGCAATCTGGCAGCAACGACGCGCTTCGGCACCTTTTAAGCGCCACACTCAGTCGCGTCCGTCACCGTCTTGACACTCGGTCGACGTGCAACGTTGCGTTGTCGCGATATTTATTGGATGACGCGAGGTGCGTGCGCACGTGTGTGTGTGTGTTAGGTGTTCGCTAACCGCACTTGCCTCAACAGTCTGTTCAGGCTGTGTGTTAACGTGGAGGCAAGCGCCATCCAACAACAGCGGAGGGCAGAGGAGCGACGCTCACAACAACGAGCGGAGCGCCGGGCGGCTAAAACACAGCAAGTTAGCATAGTAGGGGGCACAGGTGATGCATTTACCAGCCATCTCACGTCAGTCAACCCATGACCTCCTGTCAGTGAGCCTTCGACACTTCACGTAGCATGAAAGGGCACATGGCCTGGCACAAGTGCCGTTGTGAGGCCACCACCACTTAATGGAGAATGGCGGTTGTTGTTGTTAAAGTGTGGTTGCTTGCCAAAGGGTATTTCGAAGTTCAATTTGGCTCTCGGTAAAGGACAGGTTCCGCACTCTCGGCTCAAGGGAACATTGATCCCAAGCAGAGGCTGCCAAAGCCGTTCACAAGTGAGGTCCATTGATGGTCTCCATGCTGCCGCTGCTGCTGCCGCTGCAGCTGCTGCAGCGTGCGCGTGGCTTAAAGCACGTAGCCATCTGTGCCAATGTCGTCTGCCTTTGAAAAAAAACATCTTCTTAAGCTCAATGGCCTTTACTCGGGAATCAAACTTCAGATTCTTCACTTTTTTCTTCCGATATTAGAAAGCCGCTGGAGCTACGCACTTTTAAATCTAGATTGAGAACTCAGCTCTTTAAAAATGCTCGTTGTGTTTTGCTTGTTGTCCTTCCCCGCCCGCGCACACCTCTGATTGATTAGCACGTTTGGCTACGTACGGTGCGAAAGAAGTTCAACGTACGTACGTACACACACACACACTGTGGTAGAAATGGTTTAGAGGCTCGCGAACGTTCGGCTCACCTGCTTCTTCCACAAAGTACTTGACGACGAGGTAGATCCTGCCCTGTGGCTTGAGGTCCAGCTGCGAGAAATAAAACGACGGCACGCTTAGCATAGCCGGGTGGCCTGTAACCCGGCACACAGGAGACGTTTGCACCACACACATGGCATGGCTTTTCTACCCGTCCCGGATGACTTCTGCTTGTCCACAAAGAGGGCTGGTGGATAACAGGATGAATTCAGTGCTTGTGGAAGACTACTTTCGGGGCGACTCATCTCATCTACAAATAAACAAGTTTGGTTTTTTTCTTCCTAATTTTCTCACGAATGCACCATCGCTAGCGCGCCACGAGACGAAATATCCAGTCGCAATCTCACAAAAGCAGTGGATATCACCAAGCTACCTCCGAGCATTCTCCAAAGTCGGTACAGGAGCGGCGCTTTCGCGCCCACACTGCCACGTGACGGTTCTGTTCGACGCACAACAGTCGAAACCGAAACAGTTCTCAGCGCGAGCATTCAGCTAAATGAAGCTCAAATTTGATGCGGTGGTTTTTTTGGTGCAGTAATTAATATGACTCTAAGCACCATTGAACTGGCTTGGCACTTGAGAGCCCGGATTAAATCACGGGCTGTGGCTGAAATCCAGATTAGAACCCAGAACGCTCAGCGGTGCCACAGCTCAGGGCTCCGACCTTCGAGCCATCCGGTCAACCTCACAAATAAACGAGGCGAATGGTGGGGGGAGCCCTTACCCACAGATCCTAGAGGATCATTTCGCGAGCCGCGAGCGGCCGCGGGCAACACGACACGCGGCTCGCGAGGAGACGTCGCGACAGAGCGCCGCCCCACGTTCGCCGCCCCATCGCACCGAAGCCTTACCCAGAATTCCGTGCGGCCGCTGCCCTTCTTGCACTTCTCGGCGAGCGAGGCGACGCCCAGGGTGGTGTCGGAGAGCGCCCTCTCGGGCGTCACCATGAGCACGAACTGCATCACGCGCCCGTCGTAGATGTGGGCGTCGAAGCTGCTGTTCCATTCGGGATGCATCGTGGGTTTCTTCTGCACTAGAGTCTTCCCGCGATCTGCCATGGAGGGGGGGGGGGGGGGGGCGGCGAGAAATATACAAAGGGGGAAAAATTAATTTCCCATGCGCGTGCGGGCCTGCCCGTTCGTTGTTGTTGTGGTTGTTGTTGTTGTGGTTGTAGTTGTTGCAGTTGTTGCTGTTGTCCCGCGACGCTTTTCGACGTGCGTTCGAAATCCGGTGTGTCGAGATTAGAGAGAAAAACGAATTACGTTCCGGGCCGTGTGACGAGATGTAAGTACGTACATACGTTCAACTTCATTCGCACCGTACGTAGCCACCCGTGGCTAACCGGAGGTGCGGGCAAAGAGATGGCATCGCACGTTTATGACGCAGGATGGCGTCGCACGCAATGTGTCACATCTTTGTGAGCAAGGCTCGTCGCTTTAAGCGTCGGTTCTTTAAAGTTTTGGGCGACCTTTTTGTTTTGTTTTAACAAAGGGCACCGCCCCGAATAGCCACGCAACAGACGGATGGACGGTCGGGATATCGCGCGAGTGCACGTTACCGTTTTTCGACCGTAGTTGGAGGGCAATGAAAACTTTTTAAAAACGAAAATCCCAACGGACGAACTGGAGAATTCGTGTTCGGGTGGCTTGACGGCCCAATTCGTTTTCAGACAGGAAAGCCATTCGCAATAACAATAAAAAAAATTAGCATTATTATTATTTACATGTCATTAATGTCATGAAGTGCATCTCAAAAGTCTGCAGAAGAATGTGACGCAGTTTTTTTCGCACGGAAACGCTGGGGTGGAGGCAGCCGGAACCGGCACCACCAAATAAAACATTGCCCAAGCTCTGTGGCCCAACACTGGGACGCCTTAGGCCAACTCCATCGCGACTCCACGCGTCGTCGCCATTTTTCAAACACGACTACTTCACCATAGAATGGAGAATGAAGGAGGAGTGCATTGCGAATTGACTCACTGGTGGGCGTAAGTCAACTTGTCATGTCACACGTGACTCGGTTCTACTTTGTACCGTCATGCAGTTTTGCTCCTTATAATGGTAATTGTTTTGTCTCCAATGCAGTGCAAGCATGGCGGCTTTGAGTCATCGTGGATTTTTTATTTGTTGTAAGTAATGAGTTAATTGAAGGAATGAATGCTTTCCTTCAGCTGCCAGCACCACGACTCGACTACTTGGATGCAAAACGAGGGCACAAAAAGAGAGCCTGGCCAAACAACCCAAGCCAGGACATCCTAACACATTCCTGATCATGATCATCAGTGCACCGTTCAACACTATACATACGTGGATCATCAATACATAGAAATTATATTTAATCCGTCAGACAAGTTCGATCCACTGCTGGATGAAGGCCTGTCCAAGCCGTTGCCATCTACCCAGGGGTCTGTGAAGCTACAATGCATCTATAGCTTCTGCAACAAAGCTGATATTATCGCGCAATCTCTGTGGTGAATATTCTCATGAACATGCTTCCTCCTTTACACTCTTACACACGACACTATTTTTAATTTACCAAGTAAGGCGCAACCGAGCTATGTAGCGCTATTTCAGAAGCCACCTGGCTATCGCAAGTGATAGATCAGCGAAGCGGCTTATCATGTGGAAATGTATTGCAGCCAAATAATCTAAACGCATGTTGATTCTCAATGTCGAGTGAAAAACCAGAGGACCCGGAGAAAATGTACGCGACCACCGGGTGAATATGCAAACTACATCAGGCCAAAGGGTTTGGATCGAACCCACGACCTCCGGTATACCAGGCGAGGTAGTTAACATCTCCTAAGCCACCGTGATGCCTAAGATCTTGTCGGACCTGGGAAGCTAATCCGGCTGGAGCCTGGTTAGTTTCTCAGACAAGACGCTTCCTGGGAATAGCGAATGCTGTGGGCTTGGGCCGAGGTGGCCAGAATTTGGAAGCAATGCGACACATGCTTGGGGTTTTCATTTACGAGTCACGGTTGCTTGTGGGAACACGGCAGGCCCAAAATATAATTGGGAGAAGAAAAGCGTGTTGTTTCATTAAAAGGACTCGCAGAGGGTGGGGCAATGCGTTGGCCGGGCTGCGGCGGGCGGCGAGATGACAACACGCACGCACTTTGCACGTCACGCAAAGAGCATCGTCTTACTCGGGCCCGCATTTGTTTGAGCGAGGAAGGTCGTGGCGGCAGCGCGGGAGGGCGCCCCCCCCCCCCGTCGCTTGAAACCTCGTTGACTAAGCACCCAGCCCACCCCCGAAGTGTTGGTGGGGGGGGGGGCAGCGATCATCCCGCGACCACCCAAAGCGTGCGCTCGCCGCCCCTCTTGTTGCGCGCGATCCGACAAAGCGTCGGTGCGTCACGCGATGATCAAGCGTGCCCAACGGGCGGTTCAGTCGGCCCACCCCACATCTGGCGGCTCGAGTCACTGGGACCCCCCCCCCCCCTCCTCGTGCGCCCCGCCACCCCGCGTGAGTAAGAATCGTAAATTTGAAACAAAAGACGACGAGTGTCAGCGAACGGACGGCAGCAGATAATGCCGCGTTCCCACGAGCGCTACGGCGCACGAACCGGGCTGGCAGGCGGCCCTGGTCCGAGGTACATAAAAAGCATCCCAACCGGGGTCAGCCTGGCACCACGTTAACCCCTTTCCTGCCGACACATCCGAGCCGTGCCAGGCGTGGAGAGGGCGCTCCTTCGTGGTGTGTGGGTGGTTTTCCATCGACTATTTGCCAAGCCGAGCCAGAAGCAACCCGTGCGACAACGGCCTCACGAGCAATCGGCATCAAGCAGGGGCCGGGGGCCGAGTTAATCCACGCCGTTCGACTTGATGTGTGTGTGGGGGGTGCAATGCCGGCAGCACGGCTCGGTTTCTGCAGTGGAAAAAACCCAGGCTGGTGCTGCCCTCCCAAGGCTTGCGCCGGACCGGCTCGGCACAGCACCCGGCGCGCGGTTCGGCATGCATGGTGGAGAAAGTGGTAAGTAAAAAAAAGAAAGAGGCTGCCTGGTGTTAGGCGCACTCTCATATTCTTATATCAGACAACTGGACGTGGGCTGGAGTGAGCCACACTGTATCCTGGGTCCGGAAGTGGGCTGCTGTCCCTGTGCTACCGGGCCCACTTGCCAATTTGCCATGGAACTGTCGCGCAAGACTCTTGCTTTCCGCCTGCTCGAGTAATACGGCAAAACCGAATGACCAGCAAAAACTAAAAAATAAATCATGAAATAAGTGCGTTCAGGTTGTCCGGACTAGTATGCACTATGTACTCACTGCCCTCTACATTTCAGATCCTAAACACACGGTCAGATGTGTCTATAAAGGTTAATACTAGACGGGTACAAATTACACTGGTCAACACACTTTTTATGGCATAAGGTATTCCAACAGTTTTAAGGTAATGTTGGGGTGCTGATTCCAAATCTTGCATCAGTTTTTGTCTATCATATCAGGTTTTTGAGATATCAAATATTAAATTTTCAATAAAAACTGCAGAAGAAAAATATTAAATAAATGTGGATATCTACATAAAATGATATTATAAACACACTATCCTAAAAATACAGCACCATATTTTAACACTAAAGCAATCACTGACTCGCAACAACTTGCAATCATAAGTGACAGAGTTAATTTCGGGTAAAAATCAATGAAAATGGGGTATGCCGATAGCATAAAAATGAGCAAATCTGAGATCAGATTTGGAATCAGCACCCTGAAATTAGTCTAAAACAGCTGCAAAAGTCCAGGCCAGAATAAAATGTTTTTTTTTGTTGACCAGTGTTATTTTCCGTTTGCACACTGGCAGGCCAATGCGACAATCATTTGCGGAAAAAGGGACCCACTTAAAATTCAGATTTTGTCGGTGCCGACGGCTATCGAGACTAGCGATTGCCGTAACGCAGTCACTCTTCTCACTCTAAAACATCCACCTTCCTGACGCGAACAGTCTCCGCCGTCGCGTGGCCCCGAAAGGAGTGGCTCGTTTCACGTGGAACGAATTCACTGGGGAAAACTACAGGCGTTGTCACGTGACCAAGGCCGAGCCTCGCTTAGCTCGCCCAGCAAAACAAAAAAACAAAGGGTCGGTGCACTTACATTCAGAAATGTGGGAGCTCTCAAGACGAGAAGGCACTGCCCGCAATCTGAAAACGTAATGCATTTGGTCTAGGTCAAGAGGTCACCATGTCCAGTGCCACCAAACCTCACAACCATTGCTTGCTCCCTTCCGCTCCGCGCCGCACTTGTAGCAAAGGCGACACTCGATTTCGGAGGGCCTCTTACAGCCTCGTGTCATTCCCACCGTAAAGTCGTTCGGTGAATTATCCAAATCTGCGGAATTGCAAGGCCAACTGAAAGCTAAAGAGGAATCCTTTATCTGGAAGCTGGGGAACTTGTACAAAAAAATTATCTTTTGGCCTGCACTATTTTTTTCTGTTAAGAGGTTTAACCCCCCCCCACCCCCCTACCGCAAACAGCCCCAGTTGGAGAGCCCTATAAAAAATAAATACTACTCAAGGGGTCCAGCCTCGAAAAAAAACCCCACGTGGCACTGAGCTCAGATGGCGGAGGGACCACATGGTAGTGGTGGGGCCTCTCCTGCCCCTCCCCCCCTCCTGTCCCCTGGGGGCAAGAGCCCCCCAAAAGTATGAATAACTATCGTTGCGTGTGGTTGTTTTTTCCGGGCCCGCACCGTTTCTCCGTTCTCGATTGGTTTTTCCTCATCTCGACAAGATGATTCGAAAGCCGGAGAACTGTCAAGTGCGCACACGCGCACGCACACACGCACGCACGCACGCACCTGTGTCCAATGACTCCTTGATGTTGACCGAGCAGAAAGGCTGTCCTCCATCATCTTGGCTGGCAGTGCCCAGGTCGTACTTGGACAGGGTTATCCTCAGGAAGGGCGCCATGGCCTCCACTCGCGACCGATTGCCTGTCTCTGCAAGACACGAGAACGACGCGGGACACAGGGCCGTCGCGTTAACCAACCAAAGATCCTCCAAGCCTCAACTGCCCGCACGCCCGCGGCTCCCGCCGTCGATCCACTGCCTGCCACTCTACGCGGTGCGGGTCGTGGCGGTTATTTTACCGTACGGGGCAGTCGTCGACGTACGGACACACTTCGTTCCCGAGGCCCCATTCGTAAGTCGGAACACAACGATGCACCGGATTGAAATGCCCGTACGGGGCAGTGCAATGAAGTGTGTAATTGTTCAACAAAAAAGGGCAGCTTTGTTAAACTGATAAAGTCTAAGAAATGTGATACATTTGCATGTAATGCAAAAATAATTTACATGATATGCAAATGTACTCTACCCCTTGGCACATCCGCAATGTCAAATGCAGTCCAACATTCAAGAAACATCTCAAGGCCCTCTTTATCTGCGTTGGGTCAGGGCTTTCCGAGCAGCCCTGAGCTTGGCTCCGCGCCTCCGAGTTGTTGACTTGTCTGCAAAATTTGGCGCGTTATAAATACCATAATTATTATAATTAATACTGTGATACCCAGGACCGGTTCAGATGTCAATCACCACTCGTGTTATCGGCGGGGAACAAAACTTGACAGCGCCAGTGAGCTAATTTTTATTTTATTTTTGACCATGCAAGGCTCCACTGAGCTATATAGCCTTTAATTCATAAGCGACCTGGCGGCCGAAAATGATAGCCCAACGAAGTGGCTCATCATCATCGTCTCGTCGAAATTTCTAGCAGCGGACAAATACTCTGAATGCACGTAGATTCTAAAATGTGGCGGGAGAAACCGGAGGACCCGGAGAAAAATCCACGCGACCACGAGATGAAAGACACCGCAAACTCCAAATATACAGCAGGCGTCAAGGGGTCGGGGATCGGACCCCACGACCGCCTGCACACCAGGCGATGCAGTTAACATCTCATAGCCACCCCGTTCACCTCCTTCCGGACGCCAGCGGCGTAAACAGAAGGCGCTTCGCAGCGGCGGCGATGGCTTCGGGACTCCGCATATTTGCCCAAACCTTACTGCGGTAATGGCAGGGTACTGGCTGGCAAATTGTGCATCAGGGTCAAGCGGTAAATGGGACTCCCCCCCCCAACACCCTCACCCTCCCACCGCTCCCAATATTACTTCACCATCATCATCTTTACCCCGCTGTGTGTTTATTTTTCATCTTGGCTCTTTTGACTTTTATCACCCCCCGTCCCCCGTCCCCCCCAACCCCTTACTTACTTTCGTCCCATTTTCTTTGGTACTACAACTCCACGGTAAATGGCGGGTCAAATTGGCCGCACGCATCTCGCTACGCTGAGAGTGCGGTTGCCATGGCTATTGGCAATTGTATGGAAGTGCTCGAACGCAACCGTTGCCGAGCCTGCCCCCCACCCTCACCTCCAGCAGGGTCAGCTATGGAAACACCACGGTCAGCCAGCTGTGTGCGTCTGTCTGTCATTCGTCCGTCCGTCCGTCCGTACGTCACACCCACCCATCCATTCATCCACCCAACCGCCCACCGCACCCATTCCATGGTAAGAACATACGTACGGTTACACACGCACCTCCGATTGGCACGGTTGGCTACGTACGGTGCAAGATAAGCTCAACGTGCCAAAAAGAACAAAAACAAAGATCTCCCCCGTGTAGCCTTAGCAGACTGTCGGGGCAAGTGCTGTTAGCGAGCAGCACCTATGAAGGCCGGCACGGCACACGAGGAGGTGGGTGGCCAGCACCACGCCCAGACCGCAACTATCACCACCACCACCAACATCATCACCAAAGACAAAGATCCCCCGTATAGCCTTAACAGACTGTCGGGGCATGTGCTGTTAGCGAGCACTTATGAAGGGCGACACAGCACACGAGGGGGGTGGTTGGCCATCACCAGCCTCCTTTGTCTCCCCTTGATCAATTTCTGAGAACTGCTGGCGAGAGTGGGCGCAATCTGAGTGAATCGGTTTAAGGATAAAAAAAAAGTTAATTTTTGATTTTCGCCCCAGACATCTTCAATTTGCACTCCTGGTGCCAAATCGAAAAGTTAAGTAATAATCCACCGGGGCTTTCGCAGCGACCAGTAGTTCCGTCAAGACGACTTGACGGAACTACTTCCACAAGTGCGCAAACGATTTTGCTTTGGCGGAAACACGAGCGCATCTCAGAACCCTCACGCGCGCTTGCGTGGAAACTACAAACGGAGTTTTGCAGGAGGTTAAAGGTTGCAAACCGTTGCACAACTGTGCCGCTTAAAGTACCAGTCACACGGCAAGGCCTACGAAGCCAAATGACCTTTTGGACCAGAATTCTTTGCCAGTTGATGCACGCGACTCAATAAATATGCAAATTACGCTCCCATTGCACTCAATGACGTAATTATTTCTAGCTATCTCGAATGTCAACGCGGTATTATAAACGCAACACCCTACACCCGCAGAGATGACGCGGTTTGAAGTCTGAATGCAGCACTAACTTTTTTTTTGCATGACAGCCCTTTTGTTAATCCATTTCTGGATCACGGTCTCGCCACGCCAGTCATTTGACTCGTTTCATCATACTTCACCACGCTGGTCAGTGTGTTCGTGAAGGAGGGGGTGGGTTAGTTGGTTGGTTGGGTGGGTTTGGTGGGTGGGTGGGTTCCCAAGAGAAGTTTCAGATACCCGCTCGCGTCATCCGCGGCCTGGAATCGAACTCGCTGCATTCGTATCGAAGCATCCCAACTGCTGCGCACAAAAAGCCAAAATCAACCGCCGTTATACCGAAACGGAGGCTTCAATATTCACGGTTGGGCAACATTTTTTCCCATTATCTTCAGCGGCCGCAGCTGACGGGGACTTCCGTAATTTGAGCAGCAACTGGGGAGGCAACCACCAACGCAGGGAAGAGGAAACGAACCTCCCCGGGGTCCCCGTCGCGTTCCCGTTTCGACTCTCCGCCACAAAATTTACCAATGGCCAACAATGGGCGGCTATTGTCGCCCCGAAGCATAATTAACGGCGACCTCGTGGGTAGCTTGGCAACGCACGTCTTGCACACGCGCATGCACGCACGTACAAACAAAGCATACTCGCCCAAACTCACCTCCCCGAGTTAATCTAGGCAGCCTCAGGCTTCCATGGAAATGACATTATTCTCCTCTGGCTCGCAGTCACAATGAACATTATTATTATTTTTTTTGCCACTGACATTTAATTTCACGATATCAAAAATTAAACAACGGCCAAAGGCTATCGGCCCGCAAATGTATTCTACCGCTGATACAAGCACACGGTGGGGGTCTTCGGCGTGCGGGGGAGAATCGAACTTGGAAGGGTCGTGATGCCGTGACAACGAGCTGACCTTAATTGCAATGTCTATCAGCATGAAAACACTCTGGAGGATTAATTGCGTCGATATCGGAGCGCCACAGGACCACCGGAGCATTCCCTAAATGGCGTGCGAAGCGCATCCGCCGCCCATCCACACACAATTTTGGCGGACCGCTTTTACTACGGCGTTTTAAAAATTTTCACTCAAATGTCACTGGCGCATCGGGGGGGGGGGGGGTGGGGGGCCTTTTGGTGGCGAGCTATCAAAAGAGCGGATCGGCGGCGCTGCGGTCGGCACTCCGCTGCGGTATGTACGGATCCCCCAAATCGCAGCGCACGCACCACTCTCGTGTGAAGCTGTGTTGCAAATGATGGGACCAACCCCAATTGAAAAGTGGAAAAAATTGATCAGAGGAGTTGTTAACAAAAAAAGACACACTTGGGATACGCAAAATCCGCAGCAAAAAATTCACTCGTTGCAAGCATAACAGACGCGCTTTGCCCCGACAGCTTCCGCGCCCGTTAAATATTTTAATTCCGAGACAACACATGCGTTGGATAGCGTCAATGCACACAATCCATACGTGTGCGTCATTTTTGTTTCGAACCTGTTTTGCCTTGCGCGTCAGCTGGTGCAGTACGCAAGCCTGAACTCCACGGCAAAAGCACGAAACATTATTCTTCGCCAATTTTTCCTGTTCCAGATTGCCTGTATAACGTTCTGGCTGCGCTCACTAGAGTAACGGTACGGCAGTAGCTTACAGGGAAAGGAGTAAAAAAAAACACTACACCTGGCTAAGAAAATCGAACAAAAGCAAAAAAAACCTGCGCACAAAGAAACATGGACGCAGCTTGCACGCTCGGCATCACGGCCCAGTGGTTGACTTCTTCTCAGTGCAACTCAACTCCTGAGGGCCTACTGGCTCACAACTCGGTGTAACTATTTACAGCTTTTGGTCGACCCAGTGCTGGATCAAGGCCCCCGTGCACGCCACGTCAGTCGCAGGGATTTTTCCACCACGCCTCATAACGCCGTTCCGTTACACAGGTCCGGGAACCGCCGTTGGGGATACCGACGACCCGCCACTCACGTTGGGCCCAGGAATTGAACCCAGGTTTCGTTAGCGCTTAACGGCGCGAGGAGCTAACAGGCTGCGTCACCCAGCCATGAATAATGCACGATATTCTACAGTGATTTTTAACTAATGGCATTATTAAATCCGCATGATTGAGTCAACCAACACTGCGGGAAAGGTTAATTACCATCACCGCTCTCTTTGTGCTGTGAATCTGGGCGAGTGCGATATTAATAATAATAACAAGGCAGGCTCACAAATGTGAATACCCAACCCACCCCCTGTTCATGCTCCGAGTATCCCGGCAGCCTTAGTTAGCCATCCGACGGTCGCAAGATCACAATCGCGCGGTGGGCATTAAACTTCTGCCGAGAGAAGAGAAAAAGGGCAGGCGGGGATGGCGGGAAACAATAAAGCATCAATAAGAAAAATCAGGGTCACGTGTGAATTACGATAGCGCTTTCCCGCACGTGCCTGTCCAAGGAAGCGATGCATTCGCGATGATAATAATAAAGGCGGTGCCAGGCAGCGGTGCACCCATAGGCCGCAATGGGACCAGGGGGCTGGCCTAGCGGCTCTGCCCGCGAGG